TTCTGTATAACTGAGGAAGTATTTATTGAGTGCTTTGTTACTTTAACCTTTACGACTCAGAGCATGAAGTACATGTTGGAGTGTGCGCCTGTAACCCCGTCAGAACCCTCTCCCTCCTCATCTCCTCTGGACTGGAGATTGATAAATGTGGGACACCAAAAAGGAAAGTGAAAAATCAAATCAGCAGAGCTGGATGTGTCTGTCCCTCTAATGAGCCGCTGATTGAACATTTCAGCGGGGGAACATGTAGTCATTAGTCTCTATGCTCCAAAGAAGCATTTCAAAAGAAACTTCAGTAGAGGAGAGAAAATGTAATTACAATACAGGAGACAGAGAAATAGCTGTGAAGCATCAACTTAAGCATAATCACCACCATTACTGCTCCCACGGGTCTGCTGGAGTTACTCACTGATTGTTTTGGGGGAGAAATTGTATTTGTGTGGATATGACACCTTTTCCTCAGATGTCATGCATCCTCCCATTATCACGCAGGTATTGGTTTTAAGTAAGGTGTGTTTAGCTCGTCAAGGGAACATCATTTTGTGTTTCCAGAGGATTAACTGTGTTAGCGACTTGTGAAATGATCAGCTGCACAATCTGTAATTTATTTATTAGCCTTCAACAATCAGTTTCAGACAGAAATCAGTTCGGATGCACGTGTAAAGCAAGCTTAACATTTTGAAAGGGCAGGTTCACAATTGTCTAAAAACAATGTCCTGATAAATCTCAACTGCATGCAGATGAATTATTTTTTTGAACTGTTATTGTCATTACATAGTACAGGTACTAGTAACGAAACGGTTTCTCTGCATTTGACCCATCCTAGTGTTAGGAGCAGTGGGCTGCCATTATTATGTACGGCGCCCGGGGAGATGATGCAGTTTACCAAAGAAATAGTCATAAACTAGAACAACAAACCACAAGGAAGAAGGTTAGGAATATGTTTTGCTTTTAAGTACAATAAGGAGATTTTTATAAAGTCAAATCAAATGTGTTATTTACACTACAATACCCCACCCTGTTTTAAGACCCTTGTCCGGATAGGAAAAAACACCAAACTCATAATAGAAAAACCTTAGTCGGAACATTTTTCAAAGAAAGCCCAGGAAGAAGAGGAACAAGTGCTCAAATGTCCTAGCTGTAGTTTGAGTTATTTAGTAGCTGCAGCATACTGAACAATCTGCCTGACAGACAAAACTAGTAGAAAAAACCGAGATGTAAAAGCCGTGGACAGAAAACAACTAATATAGCTTTGTTTCTGGTGGTTTCTTTAAGATGCCAATTAAAAGTAATGGTTAAAAATGAACTGTCAAACTTTGAGAAGTCACACAGTTGTCGGGAATTACTGTAACTTGATTAAAATGGTGTCTATTTGTAGCAGGGTCGGCATCGGAGTTTGTTTAAATTAAGGAGCAAGAAATTATGTGACATCCAGTTTTTCATAGAGTTAGAAATAATATCTTTAAGTTATTTATAATAAACCTAAGAGTTGTAGCCCTAGCATAACCAGGAAGCTTTCTTGCATTTTCTGTCTCATTTGTATTGACAACGTTAGCTTAGCGTTTAAAACGGCTACTGTATTCCTCTTAACGCTCCTTGAAATGTTATTGATAATCCGGTAGGAGACGGAGCTGAAGTGCAAGAATCTATGAACAGTTGAAAGCAAAGAATTTAGATATTATTGTTATGACAAAACCATTCAAATTATTCTATATTAAAGGAGGAAATCCATACTTTGCTAGCATGAATGTGCCTGTATCTCAGCCTGCATGTGTTTCCCTGTCAGAGGGGCTGATCAGAGACACGCTGGCTAATGAGAAGTTGCTCTCAGTGGTAAGGTCAGACAGGCGTTTCCTCAGCTGGGGATCCTCTGCCTTACCCCCCCCTCATCTCCCCCCTAACGTCCCCTCCATCCGCTCTCTCCTCTCTTCAAACACAGAGCGTAATAAGACCAGCTGAACAGGCCCATCATGTCACCGCGCTGCAGCCCAGAGAGGGAGAGAAATCAAGCTGTCACTGCACAGCAATGCTGAGGGAGAGCTGAGGGGGGGGGGGAGAGAGAGAGAGAGAGGCTCCCCCCTGTTCTCCCATACCCTCCCCAGAGCCTATTATAGCAGGTGCCAACACCGGGAGATGGATCACACACTCTCACACACACACTCACACACACCCCTTGTGCATCTATCAGTATGAGGCCACCCTATGCTGAGTTAATTTAAACTCTTTTCCTAATCTTTACTTTACATAGCTCCTGAAGGTCCAAAATATAAAACATGATAACAATAACAAACAAGATTAAGGTCATGATAGCAGCTTCGTAAGGTTATTGTGCTAAATGCTAACAGCAGCATGCTAAAATACTCACGATATAATAGCTAATGTCAAACAGGTGTAATGTTTACAATCTCTTTTCACTGCGCTAGCATGCTAACATTTGCCCGTGAGCACTAAAAACAAAATAACTGAAAGGTCATTTGTTTTTATCAAAAGTATTAGACAAATAGTCTGTTTTTAGAGAATCATTTTGTAATTTGTAGCATTATATATATATATTTAAAGTTATTTTCTGAGAAGAGCTGTCTGATTTTGCTTGAAAGGAGTTTATGAGAGCAAGTGAGAGTAACACTGTAAAGATGTGAGCCAGAGAGCATATCAAAGGCTAACTCTGAAGCTGTGTAAAGCCAAGGGGAGCTGAGGTTCATGGGATAGTTCTCTGAAGGTTTTTCATTACAAGCTACCTCCTTCACACTGTTATGTTGTTTCTACATGTCACTCGACGCATTTTCATATCATTTATAGCAGCTTAACTTCTCTGCCAGCATTCGTTTATAGTTTAATAAATTATCAAATACTGTATAAAATAACATTGCTGTAATATTCAGCTTTACTTTGTGTTCCTCAGCATGCTATCCTTCAATAGCAAGCTGATGAACATGGTAAATATCATACTGCTAGATGTCCGCATGTTAGCATCAGCAGCTAAACAGATGTGCAGTCTCACAGATCACCCTGTGCAGTTCTACACTATTTGTGTATCTAATACAAAGGAAGGAAGCTTAGCTTACATTTAAAAAAGTACTTAAAATGTGACAAAGATTTGTTTCCAGATAACATCTGTGTCACTACCTTAAATGGTGAAACGATGTGTGTCGGTGTGTTTTTTCTTTTCAAAGTAAGTTGTGAAATGTGGAGTTAAGTTTGAAAATCTTCTACGTGGCGGTGGATCTGTATGATATGCATGTGCATCTGGTAGGCCTGACACAGCTCATGTGTGTGTTTGTGTGTGTGTGTGTGAGATGGGAACAGCTGGCTGAGGGAATGAGTACAGAGGGAGAGGTGATGGATGCGAGTGGAGCTCCTGTGACAGATGAGCTAACAGGTGTTCACCACAGCCCTCAGAGAGACGCTATTTATGAGCCGGAAAAGACAGCCAGGCGCAAAGCACTACGCCACCGGCCGCCTCAAAGCTACAACACATCACGTACATCTGCACTACTTTACCCGACAATAAGCAGCACTGCACAACTGTCTATAGGCGGCTTCAGTTTGCTAAGAGCTTCTCTACTCACCAGCTGAAGCTCTTACTGTACATCATTCTCCATGCACAGTCCTCATATATCTACTACTGAATATTAAAATACATCAGTGTACACGGATACTTTATCGTGTATCGTAAGAGGTGTTCTACAGTTTGTGCTGTTGACTCTTAATACTGCTCTGCGGCACACAAACTGCTATCATTGACTCTCTTAAATATGAATGTTGTTGGTTTATTGAAGGGGCCAGCAGTTTGGGGGTTTCACTTTTTATTGCTGAACTGCTGTTTTGCTTTATTCTCAATACCAGGATGTGATCCAGAGTAAATACATCTAAATCAGAAAATGCAATTTATGTCGTCTTTTTTTTTCGAGCCTCTCATGTTCTGTATTACTTTACATTCAAATGAAAGAGCTAAGCACCCATGTCTTTTAGTTCATATGTTCGAAAACCCAGAAGGTGTTTAAGCAAAACGTACAGATGTTCTGGAGAATCTTCAAACCATCTAGATGAAAAAATAAGTCATTAGGCTGCATGACAAATATATTTTCCCCACACAAGTTGTGATGGTAGTTCCTAATCCGGGAAGACATATGTCCTTTCTGCAAGTTATTTGATATGTTAATATAAAAGAATGGAGACTGACTTCAATAAAGACAGCCATTACTGATTGTAAAATGGTTACAAGTTGGTTCACGTTCAAATTAAGCAAAGACATATTTGCTCATTTCCGGCTAATACAGATGCAACTTGAGAAACAGATTTCATTTGTATTTCCCGTGCAGCAGACATCATATTTGATCATCCAGATGTTTTAAACACTCTGAGGTTTATGAAAATTCTTCATTACAGCAGTAAGGGTTGATTAAAAACCTTCTGGGTTTGGCAGGTATTTATTTTTCAGAAAAGTCAAAAAAGAAGATGCTTAACTGTATGACTCAAATGTAAAAAATAATACACGAGTATAGAATACAGCAGCTTATGTTTTCATTTTTGTTGTTGGTGTCAGACATTAATCTCTAAATGTTGTATTTACGGAGTACTGATTTGACCTATTAAGTATAATCAGCAGTTTTACAAGTTACATGGTCATATTTATTATGATTTGCATGATTTTTTTTATTATCAGTGTTATCGTTAGTTTATTTATGAAAAAGTGTGGAAGTGAGAACTCTTTTGCCCAGTCACTACTTCCTGGTTCATTGGATGCAAATAGTTCATTGTTGATGGAAACATGGGAGAAAAGGGGGAAGAAGATATGTGAGCAGGTGGAGTGACAGATTCATCAAAATCATGAAGTCATGAGTACACGGTCTGCGCCTCAGCCTGCCAATTAGCAGAACTCATCATTAACGACTTTGTGATTCAGCCACGATCCTCTAAAGGACCATAAATCACAGCAGAGAGATGTTGAAGAGGCGCCATCAGAAATACCAGCAAAACACAAATAAATAAAAAGGTTATTGTTTTAATAAATTCACTTTTTTATTGTTCAGCAAAAGCGATACAAATAAAACGACCTTGTTGATTTAAGTCTAACTTATACGTTTACTTTTCTAAATAACATTATTTTCACGTAGAAGGCACTTTAAAAAATGTGATTTAGGGGGCAGCATAAAGGTTGGGATGTGAAACCACATCAGGGAGAAAGGCTCTAATGGTTTGGCTCAGCTTCTCAAAGGTTTATATATGGGCTTCAATTCATGGAAAAAAAAAATATCCTCCTTCTCTCTGTTTTTGGCACAAAAGAATGAGCAAATATTCCTGCAGGATACCGTTTCTCCCAAAATCTTTGTACAGCCGATTGTACATAATATTCTTTGGTAAAAAACCACAAAGGGCATGAATATGAAATAATCACCACTGTGGTTAAATGACCAGTTGTTTTTGACATAATTAGATGTAGTAATGTCATATTTAGGCCTTCTGTGTGTGTTCAAAGAGGATCATCACTTTATTCAAGTCTTAGATATTCCTGCCATTCAGGTCAATCTTTTCCCAACTCAGATCAAAATAAGAAACTCTTTTAAGTATTTCCAGTTAATTCTTCGTATGATCAGTTTATTCCAGCTATATTGTCTTTTCTGTATTTCAGATAAAAGTGCCATGGGTTTGCAATATCTGCCTGAATGGTCCTAAACCAGAGAAATAGAATGTATTGAATCTTGTATGAGGTGTGGTTCCCCTGTACCTTCACTAAAGGGAGGAGGGAGGAGGGGGAGTCTACGCCTGGACGAGGGGTTGTTTGAGGTCTCGGAGCAACATGGATGCCATGACGCTCTTCTCTGTGTTGATGGTCAGCAGGGCGGTGGAGGACTCCTTCAGCTCCAAACACACCAGGACCAGAGCTCCACTGCTGACTGTCCGCCCCGCAAACCTGCAAGGGAGAGAGAACATGGGTCAGCTTCAACACTGAGCTGCACGGCCTTAAAGAGAAAGTTCATCCAACAGGTTTCCATGGAACTACTTTCTTCCAAATAAATCGTTCCTATAAAAACCTGTTTACAGAATGTTGTGGGGTTTATCTACAGAGACAGGTCCAGTGTTCCCGGAATGAAAACGAACTTTTGGTAACTTTTTTTGTGCTTTGAGAACCACCAACAATTATATTTGATTGTGTTCGGGTGGAAGCTGACATTACAGAGACAGATATCTCAACATACATTTGACACAAAGGGGACAAAAAGAAACCCAGAGAAATTACAACAGACTAAACCCTTATATTACATGTAAGTATTTATTATAATCTGCATAAATGAAGATGTGAATATGGTGGCATTTCCATCAACCTGATTGAATGAAGCAAACCGATCATTACCGGGCAGGATGATGGGGCCTGTTAGTGTCGCTAGAATGTTGTTGTAGAATTAAAGTCATTTTTAGTCTGAAGTAAGCCTAGTTAATTATTTCTATTAAACATTTCTATTGATGTTATACAGTAAAGGAAAACAGTGCCACAATGTCACTATTTTCTTTTCATAATTCAGATAAAACCCCTAGATATGCAGCCTGTGGTTGACTCCTACATCATTAAAAAGGCTATTAAAAAGGTATAAATAGCATCAGGCTATTTAAATCTTGATTTGATAAATATGTTGGTCAGCCAACACACTTAACTCACATCTCTCCCCCAAACCCCGTAAATCATCACGTTAGAAAACTCTCCAACACCTCACACCTTGCAATTGCTCTATATGAGTGCGTGAGACAAAGAGAGAAAACGTTGTGACAGGAAATGCAGAGAGCAGAGCAACAGACAGTCCATTATCCCAGCTGACTAAAGAGCCATTAGGCTGGGACACGCCCTCCACGCCAGTCAAACTGCGTTTAGCCCGTTTTTATGGACTCTGGGTGTCTATGAGTGTGTGGGAGCCTCTCGACCGGTACAGGGGGGATGCCCCGTCCCACCGGCTCCCTCCGGGCCTTCGGGAGAATTCTCCATCCCCCGTTTCCTTGGAAACTGTCCCTGCAGACTAGGGGGCAAATCTGGGCACACATGGTCCCCATTGAGAGTGCTAACAAGAGGCAGACAGGGGCTATGACCCAGTGTGACCCTCTCTTTGAGGGCGACAGAGCCGAGCCGGGCCCCCTCTCCCGCTCCCCTCTGGCCCCTCTGCATCTCGGAGCCTCACGTGGCCAACTCCCAGCCATCTGCCTCCATTTAGCACTACATCCCGGCAACAAAGACCCCCCGTGGCAGCCTGCTTAGGCCTGACAAACAGCCCACAAAGAGCCCCACTTAGGCCTGACTAAAGCCTGTGAAGGGCCCCCCAGGACGGGCTGTGGACAGAGCGGCGTGCTGCGCGGCAGGAGCGGCTAGCACGTCCACCAATTAGCACGCACACGTTAAAGACCGAGAGGCGGGGGGGACACACAATGAAGCGCTGGCTCACCCACCCAGTGTGTCTGCGAGCGTCTCCGGGGAGCCGCTAAATTACCATCAACAGAGGAGAAGGAGTTTATCAGGGAGCTCTCAGGGAGGAGAGAGAGTCCTCCTCAGGCTTAATTAAAATATTAGCCACTTCAGCAGGAAACACAAGCCATTCAAGAAGAGGATTCATTTCCCTCAAAAATACCAACCTCTTTGCTTCTTTAAATAATTCAGGGGGTTGCACATCAATCCAAATGACTAATTGTGGGAATTTAGGATAAGTCCTCTCTCATAATCCATTACAACCTTAAAATCACTACCAAAATGAACACAACAAATGTTGTTTCTATTAAAATCATTAAAACATTTACTAGCAACATACAAGGGAACATCCGGTTCCCGTCAGCCCCTCCCTTTGCCCCCCCCCCCCCCCCTCCCCTCCCCTCCGTCAGCAGCTTAAGGTGTCTATGTGGTCCCCGCGGCTTTGCTAATGGATTTAGGATATAAATCTATCATTTACTCAGCCAGTTAACACTACCCCGAGGCTGCTTTCATTCTGTCTCAGGAGACGCTGCTGTGGGCCTTTGTTGATGTGTTGTAATGGGAGCTTGTGAAAGAAACAAGCATGTGTTTTGATCGTGTTGGATTTCCAAGCGTGTTTGCTTCGAATATTCTCACTTTGCGTTTTGTGGTAGTGTGAATGTTCAGGTGCAGTGACCAGACCAACATCCCATCTGACACAACATCCGTGCATTTTTAGGGACTAGAAGGGAAAGATTAAGGACAAGCGGGCCTTAAACGGGTCATTGGTATTCTCCTGCACTCTTCACATTCAGGGCTAAACACTGGATTAATTGCAGTGTATGGAAAGAAAAGCAAAGCATAACCCCTGGACTTAGAGCAGGCGGATTGGCATCGATCGGCAGGGCTGCGGCTAAGCATCACTCTCCAATTATCTGTGATTCTCCTCAGTGCAGAGAGCCTGTGTGTGCCATCTGCCTCCCCTCCACCCTGCCACTGCAAACACAAAGTGGGCTTCACCTTTACATTCACCCTCACGCAGAGAAGACACGGGACAAGGAGGATTCTACGACAGAAAACGCAGGGCTTAACCCACAGCGAGCACACAAGCCCCCTGCATCTTAAGTATTAAGGTTCTCTTGATTTGTGCATGATGCCTTTCAGCAGAATCAGGGAAGCTGAGGCCATATGTGCAGTGGCTGCAGCTGGATATTATTGCTCCATGCTGGTTCTTGGCCAGGTGGACAAGTGGAGGAGTGTCCTTCAACTGAGTGGTCAGTGAGGCCAGACCACAGCCCAACACATGTGGGTAGATTCAGACTCAGGCAGATGGCCAGAGCTATTAGCCCCAATTACAACCAGGAACCCTCCACGCATCTCCAGAGCTCGGCCATACGGGCAAACTGCAGCCAGCACTCCGAGGGCGGAGGGCCAGACGGACGGGAAATGAAGGAAAGGACACACACACTTCGGATGATGATGGGAAACAAGATGGGAAGAGGAGAATTTAATGAACTAAGATTCAAGGAAATGTTACCTGAACATGTAATGTGATTGCATATCGCCTCTATATTGTTGTCCAATGATAATAATCAACATTAAAAACAAATACAAATGCCTTCTTTGTATCATCGGAAGACGCCTCATAAGCTACACTGTCTGCTGAAGCTATCAATGATAAAGAGAGCACACGTTTAATTGCCCAGGTTATAAATGATAGTCAATTACATTTTTAATTGGAACAAGAATTCAACTTAATTGGAAAAAAAGAAAAATTCAGTGTTTCAAGAAACATAATTTAATGATATCAAAGTGTAAAGTAAAGAGAAAGCATAGCTTATAAATCAACGGGCTCAGTTTTTCCCCCTCTAAATTAGGCTCTAACCAGAAGGATTGGCAATGCATGCAAAATTCGATCAAATTTGCTTTCAAACGGACTGAAAAATAGAGCACATTTATTCTATTCCGCCTGTTTAGACATAAACAAGAACAGCGTTTTCTACATTTGCTTTCCTGCTTGATTTATTGCCATCCTCCTTTCCAGCAATCAATTTCTGTGTTTCAGTGGCATCCCCCTCCGCCCGCCTCAGCGCCTGTTTGGGAAAAGCAGTGCTGCACCCTGCTGATAAACAAGAGGAGTGCAGGGATGCAGAGGCTGCTGCTTTGTTAAACAGAGCCTGTGTTAACTGCAATATATCATCCAGGAGGTCACCTAAAATCACAGGAGATGTGAGCTATGAACTGTATTAGTCTTAGGATATAAACCCCGTAAATTATTTCTACATTAAAGTCAAACTCTTACCCCTCTGAGGGCAGATACTTCGTGTGTTCTTAACTGGATTAGTGAGGACTTTCTCTGGGGAGATCAGAGGAGAAAAAGAAGGAGTCCTGGGTGGAGGTCACCTCACACATCACATTTAATGCAGAGTGACCTCCACAATAAGCTCTTAGTGGGTGTATCCGATCAGATCGATCCCTCTGCTCTGCAAGTGTGTGTGTGTGTCAAATGATGCACAGTCGAACACACTAAAACACCATTGCTAAGATGACCAGTGCAAAAACCATTAGTTGACTGTCAGGAATGTAATCAACAACAATTCATTGTTTTAGTTAGTTATCAAACAACAAGGCCAAATAATCTCATCCCAGCTCCTTGTGTGAGGATGTGCTGCTCTTCTTAGTTTTGTTACTGTTAATTAAATATGTACAGATGTAAACTATTGTTCAGACATTTGAATATGTCATATTTGTCTCGAGGAATCTGGGATGAGCTTTTTATAATTTTACTAAAATGTATTAATAATTGAAAAGATAATTATTTGCAAAGCATATTGTTGCACCATTCTTTTGATCCAAATGAATGTGTGGGTACAGAAACAATATCGTGTAAATTAACTATACAGTTGTGCTTACTGTACTAATGGTACAAGTAACTGGATGACCCATTTCTTTTGTCTAACTACAAGTCCAAAACCCCCAAATAATGAGTATGAATAATCACATTTGAAGCTGAAACTATTAACAATTTTTGACACTTTTATTTAAAATGGCTGAAGAATGATTTAGTCGTTATGCAATAATCAAATAATTGTTGCAGCATTAATGAAATAAAAGCAATAATCAGATCTGTTAATCCTATCAAATGAAACATAGGACCTACCTGTGCAATCCCAAGCACAAACTCAAAACCATAACGAGACATATTTAGAGATCTTTGAGACAACTTCTCAAAGACGAGGCTGTCAAATCTGCCTCTTAACGTTTGAGGGGACAAGGACTGAGGATTGTTTTCAGCAAGGAACTCCATCATCTCTCACTAAATGGACCTCCTAAGGGCAGTGTGGAAGAGGCGGTCATCATGAAGACACCGGCGGACAACATGGTGTCTTCATTATTATGAGGCTGCGGGGAAACAATGGGACACAGAGGCAGGAGAGAGATTGATAGCATGGAGTCATTTGAGCTATTGGTTATTCTGAATGGAGAATGGGCTTATTGGACGCAGGCCTCTCCCACTGCCTCACATTGATTTCCACTCACTCCTTCAGCTCGGTGCCCTTGTGCTACTATCTCCTTCTTATTCAGTCACTCTGACTTCCTTACTGTCCTTTACTTATCCTAAATGCTTCCTCTATTCCAAGAAAAATAAATGATCACCAACAGGAGGCTATCGAAAGACGAGGAGACAAGAGACATGTCGTGATAAAAGAAAGGGAGGACGGATCATGGCGCGGAGGGATGGAGTGAAAGACAAAGAGGAAGTGAAGGAGAGATGGCGGTGTGGAGGGAGAGACAGATGGGGGCGCAGAGATGAAGTGAAAGAGAGACAGAGCAGGAAACAGAGGGAGAGAGGGAGGTGTAATTATCTATCAGGTGTTCGGGTGTGCGTGACAGAGGAGGAAGCTCATTAGCACACTCTGTGTACACCAATTACACAGCCAGGCTTCTCAGGGCATTCCCCTGGCATGTATGTATGCTGGGACACACACACACACACACACTCTATGATACCCCATATACACACAGTTAAACTTTAATCCACGTTAGATTATAAAGAGCACATTCTCTATCGTCGACAGAACAAACAAAGTCTTAAAATAGAGTATAAGTACGTAAGTAAGTATTTTGATTAACGCTCAAAGGACTGCTGAGACAGTAAGGCTGAATAAAGATGACACAGCCTGGCAGGTTATGGGCCTCTTTTGTATCCATATTGTGCCTGACCAAAAACTACATTTTGAGAAGGATACAATAATCAATATCTAATATTTCTTAATGTCGGAGCCCAAACTCAATTAAACACAGGAGATACTTGATTTTGTATGACTGATAATTAAATATTGAGGGATTTTAAACTATTGTGCAGACACTACATACGTCATTTTTAAATGTAGGAACCTTTGTTGGACATTTTCTGACTGTTTTCTCACGTTATTTATGAAAGTGATCAACAGATTAGATTACCTAGTTGCAGCACTAATTATTGTGCTCCAAGACTTGTTAGCGGATAGAGGGTAGGGATAACTTAAAGTGGACCTATCATGCTATATTTGAATAATATAGTGTAGGACCATACCTATATAAGGCATATTTATACTTTTTTTTTCTTCAAAATACCAAACAGATCATGCATTTTAGCCATGCCTCATTTCGCTCAATTTGCACTTTTTTAGCTCTGTTTTAGCAAGGGCAGATTCAGTGAGAACAGCACCACCTACAGGCCTGGCATATGTACTACAGCGTCTCCAGCGCTTTCGAACGGCAATGGCCGTGGCTGTCTCCTCCTGATTGGTGGAGTTGGCCCAATAGCCGTAGCGCCACCGTCCTGACGTCAGGACAGTGTTCAAATCTGGATCAGTTTTTATCAGATCCGTTGCAGCCCCTTTTTTAGAGATTTGGGTATGGAGGAAAATAGAGAGGGTTGTGTTTTCTGACACTTGGTGAGTTCCCTGGAACACCGGGGACACATATTCATGTATAAAAGACGTACAAAAGTGCATTTCGCATGATAGGTCCCCTTTAAGCTGTATTCAACAAAATATCAGATAGTTCTTAATGTTAATTAACAAACTCAAATAAACACAAACAACATTTAAAAAAAAAATCTAATTAAAATGTGGGTTTCAAAATCTTAAATTTAGTATGAAATGCTCTATAAAAGGTCTCAGTCTTTGGCTGCTTCAGGATTCAACATGAAAGACAGTACAGTGTCTATTAAGACGATGAAAAACCTCACATATCCATAGTGTATAAAAGATATTAAACACACATGATTTACGTGAGGGCTAAAAGATGCACAGTAAAACGATGTGGGGTAATCATTGTAACGGTATGATGTGAGATATGAATATTGCTTGTGTGTATTGTGGACAGTTCACCTGTGGACGCTTTTCTGGCTGGATGGCACCTCTCCCACGTTGCACACCGACAGGACCTGCTTGCTAATCGCCTGGCTCGAGGTGTTTGCTGTTGCCATGGTGATGGTTGCCGAGGTCTCATTCATGCCCAGGAGCTTACCTGAGAGGAGGCAAAAAATTTTCAACGGACAAAAAACGAAGGTAAATTCTGGTACAACAGTACAATCAAAGGGACTGTTCAAAAATACATATTCTTCTTCTAGTGTTATAGTATTCTAGTGTTATATCTTAACTATGACTGCTTTAAATTGCCAAGAGTAAGAGATATCTGCCATATCTGTCAATTTGAATGGAACAAGATGTCAGTCGGCTTTTGGTGCTCAAAGCTCCAGAAACACATTTAAAAACTCAACAGCAATGTCTACTCACAGAAATCATGACCCGGTTACTCGAGATAATCCACAGACCTTAGTGTGAACAGTTTATTGTTGCAAATATTTGTTTTTACCATAGCATCATGCAATAATCTACTAATTTGCAACAGACTTTTACTCTGAAAGCGACGTAAACAATGTCACAGTGTGTGTAACGTTAGCTAGATGACGTGAGTTAGCTTTATATCAAATCAAGCCTCTCATTCCTTCATGCAACTGCTCATGTGCTTGGATTATCTTGCAGAATCAGGGTCATCACTTCTGGAAAGAGACAATAGCATTACAATGTAAGAGAAATAATATTTATTCTAAGACTTTAGCTTGAAACCTAGACTTCATATATAGCAGTATTTTTTATTTACTAAAGGGTATAATTACAATTCCATACTTGAGTTTTATGGCTATAAGAGGTCCATTAACCTGCTGTATACAGAGGATTTAGGACTTGGTTTTAGGGCTGGATGGACATCAATATAAAATAGATTTTGATTATGACTTATATATATATAAACTGTGGGGGAAACTTCTGAAGCAATTGGAGTCAGGACTCAGAGAGACACGGGGAGAGCTGGAGCTTTGATGGCAAACACTGACGGTTTATTTGGAGCTTCGGCCGGAGAATTCACAAAACAAGTCAAAGAGCCAGAGGTTCTGACTTCACGGTAGAGTTGCCACGTCAATTCTGAAGAACTCTACCCCAGACCCGTGTATTTAGCTAGTTCAGAGAGAATAATCAACATTGTGCATAACTACTGTAGATAGAATGATAACACCTCTATCAGCTGACGCCAACAGGCAGGAACAGGGAGACAAAACACTGAGAGCACAGCAGCCAAGGTTACAGGTGCGTGCGCTCAGTCAGGACAGCATGAACTGATAAACTGGGTCAAAGTTAGGGGCCTTGGAAAATATTTCCCCAACATAAACAATAAAAAAAAAATGCTCTTTTCAATATTTCAGAAAGAGGCAAGGCAACTGGCCAGTTCATGTGCACTTAGTAATAGGCAAGGATTTAAGAATAAGAATGGAGATAAAGACGTACAAGTTAGTTGGAAATAAAGGAGGTCTTAAAAGGCAAATATAATGAAAAACCTGTAAATGAAAGACTTAATTAACTTAACACAAATGGTATAAAGCTGCAATTTGCTAGAGAGAGAAAAAGGCTCAAGCAAAGGAAGTCGTTTCTCTCTGATTTGTGTCTGAGTGCAAGGTGTATTCAGTAGAGCTCAAAACACAGCGAATGAAGAGATGAATTAAGGAGGAAGCAGCATTAAGCAGCCACTTACAACACAGAATGTAGCTCTACAGGTGTGTGTGTGTGTGCGTGTGCGTGTGCGTGTGCGTGTGTGTGTGTGTGTGTGTGTGTGTGACATACCATTAAGTGCTTCATAAGAGGAGGGAAGCATTGTGCCTTAATAACAAGGGTGATGAGGAAAATGCTATTTGCTGCACGCTACTAGGATTTTATTTCACTTTATACAATTCATTTATGAATGCTACATACAATATAAAAACACTACATTTAAAGATTAAAAGGCCAACCTCTGTCAAGTAAAATGTAGGTTTTATTAGGTCGGTAAATGTATTTAAGACTCATCTTTAAAGAATATTGAAATGGCATATTCTATATCTTTGTTGTTGTGGTCATCCATGTATTTATAGGGCATAATGTGCTATTTCTATCGACATCAGAAATCCATTATTGATCAGGCTACATTAAATATATTGAACCTGTGCATTGTCGTTTACTTAAGTCAATCCCATATGAACTGCTGTTGTAAATACCTACTAAAGCACTTCATGTGTATTCATCCGCAGCTGAACATAATCCCCATGAAATGCACCGTTTGCCTGTTTGTGTGACGTCTAAAAAAGACTACCAAAAATGTAGACAATTATTTCCATTTTTCTTTTTAAATGAGACTATATATTTGTAAGCTGTTTGGACAATGCACGTAGGAAATGGAATAACACATTTTAGGTTGTGTAAGATTTGCTATAAATACCAGAAATATAGCATCCAGCCAGCCTTCAACTTTAATCATACCACTGTTCATTTGCGCAAATATAAAAGCTATTTGAAATGTAACCAAACAGTCTTTAAATGTTATTAAGAGATTAGAATAGCAGTGGGTCACTTATTAGCCATTCGGCTTAGTCCATATTTCAACTATCCTAGTTTATGGCCATGTGTAGTAAAAAGCACTTCGAACAGCTCATGTGCTTCAGAGACTTTGTATAAGTAGAACAACAATTCAAGTTGTTTTGCTCATGTAACCCACCTTGCTCCTTGCTGTAGTCTTGCTCCGTCATGCTGCTGGGCATCAACAGCTCTCCCACAGCCGGCTGTATGGACACACTGAACTGGTCCTCCTTGGTGCTGAAGAGGACAACACCAGAAAAATAACTTATGTGTTATTCATTGACAGGATATCTAAAATGTTGCAGAAATCTTGTAAATTAGGAGTCTTAAGCTATGTAATTTGAGTTCCTCTTAGTCTGAGTGACCGGGTTGTGATGTGTGGGGTAGTGTGCGTGTTTTGTGCACTTTGTTTGTGTATTAGACGTTTCTCTTCTGATTGCCTCGCAAACCACGCTCTGTGAATGGCATGTTGGGCCAGATTGATTCCCCCCATCCTGAACAGATTTTCTGATAAGGCTATTGATCAGCTGAGCAGCGGTGCCGATGGCATTCAGCAGGTTGATTTGAGCTGGGCCTGATTACTGGAGGAATAATTGTTATCCCAGTGAACCCGGATCAATCGCGGCTGATGTCTCACCTGGGAGTGCCGGCACAGAGCAGGTAGGAAAAGGAAAATTACCAAACAACAAATGAGAAAGGAAAAAAGGGTAAGAGAAAGAGCCACTTAAGGGAGATGTGATGAAGAATCTGGAGACATGCGGGGAGAGCAGGAGCAGGAAAAGGTAGTGAAAAAGATGTAGAAAAAAAGCTTGATTGATGCGAGTGTGTCAGGTTGTCTTACCACAAGTGGAAGTTTGCTGCTTGTGTCGAGTCGCTGAAGTCAATACCCATGGAAACCGTCACCGAGGCCTCTGGCTCCAGCCGCTCTGAGAGTGGAAAAGAGGAGAGGAAAAAAGGAAGAGTGAGTGACAAGGGCACAGTGTGAAACGTGAGGAAAGGAGGTGGAGGAGGAGGAGGAAGAGGAGGGCAGCAGCAGAGTGGAACAGACAGGCATCCACACCACTTGTGTTTTCTACTTCACAAAGCAAGGCCACCGTGTGAGAGAAATCTATCCTTCAATCTCATCCCCCAACACCTCTAGCCTCGGGGAGAAGAAAAAAAGCCAACACATGAAGGACTAGCATATTTCCAAAACTACAGGCTTGTCAAAGAGAGCATCAGCATCAAGAGAGACGAGGTGAGGGAGGGAGACGGAGCGGGCGAAATGCAAGCTAGACACAGAGTTAAGTAAAGCCAAAAAATGCTGAGGAGAGAGTCTGGACAGCTGAGAGGGGGAGGAGGGGGAGGGGGAGGGAGGTTAAGGATGAGAAGAACACAGACAGACAGAAACATCCTCCACGCCTCCCCAGTCGGCCTGTGTTTCTCTCTCCGTGGAGCGAGGCTATTTTACTGTACAACTCTTTCCTCAGACGGAGGAGAGACTCCAGAGGAAAGCCTCTGGAAACAGAGCCATCATGGACTCACTTCCAATCCAGCCTTCCCTGCTTCTCTTACACACAGTTTTTCTACAGTCTCTGTGATCCTTCTCCCCAGTCCCCCTCCTGTGGAAGTATAAACCACAGGATAAACAATTTAGAGAAGCATCTGAAGTTGCTTTTAAAAAAAAAAAAAAAATTATAACAAGATCCATCAAGATTTGAGGATAATGTAGGGGATTTGGCTTTTTAATATAACTTCACCGTGAAATATCCTTCTTTTGGTATTTACTATTTGTTTATATAGAGGGCCTTAATGCAAATAGTGAGTTATAATAATGTGTACAAACAAAGGATGTTCACAATGTAACAAATTTAATAAAAGAGGTATAACACGATTATCAGCAAGTTTTATGTTACAATCGTGGCTAGCTGTTTCCACCTATTCAGTTTTGTGCTAAGCTAACAACATCTGGCTGACCTTATTGTACAGATGCAAGAGTTTCACACGTATTCTCCTTAAACTCTAGGTAAGAAATAAATAAAGCACATTCCCCAAACTGTCATACTACTCATTTTAAATGAGAATTGATCAACTTGGGTTAAACACTTATTCATCTAATTATTTTAACCCTTTACTGACCTAAGTACTGCCTGACATTTGGGAATGCAGGGACAACAGTGTCACAAAGGAGATGAGAGAGGAGCGGCGAAGATAATCAGATGGGTTGAAAACTGTTAATATAGACTTTTCTTGACATTTTATCTCAAGGTAAAACATAAAATATGCGCCAGAAAATGGCACAAAAAAGTGATTTCACAGTTTTGTACCATCTTCAGGAGTTTCTCCTCCATTTAGCCAACTGAGTTGTTTCTTTAAAACCCGTTATGGTCTTCCTGTTATGTCGCTTTGTTCCCAGATCCTAGCAATTACTTGTGTTGGTATAATGTTAGGAATAGGGAGGACAACACAGTGAAATAACGAAAACGACTAAGTGTTTTGTTTTGTTTTAATTTGGTGTGTAAACAATATTATAGGCAGAGGACATGTCGGCAACTAGGTGCTACTAATTAGTTAACAGGACAAATACTAAATGATTTAGGGATACACACTGGCCACAAACAGTGCTCAAAACACAAATAACATGTTCTTTTCAAACTGCTAACTTAAAAACCACTCACATAGAGATGAGCACCAATGGAAACGAATGCATTGCTGGGCCAACACGCAACATTTCTAACAAAAATAATAAACCCTGTCATTTATTGTCCTGTAACAAACACACACAAAACAGCATTAAGCGTTGTCCGTATTCATCCTCTGCAACTTATCCAGAACAACTCGCCAGTAGCCGGGCTCAATCGATCCAAATTACCCACTGTTTGGCTGCTTGAGTTCCTTCAATGCCCAATCAATCGCCTGCAATTGACTGGTTTAACGTGCTCCACCGCACACCACCTCCGAGTGTTTGTGTGTGCATGAGAAAGAAAATCTTGAGGGAGCACTGTTCTCTCCATCTTATATTATACTGAGTGTAGCAATCATACAGCAGTGTGACAAGAAATATGGAGATGGTGCATGTTTGTTTGTTCTGATCGATACTAATGAACAGGGATTAGCTGGAGTAATATCGGCTGTTTTCAGGTTGGGAGTAATGGGACAGGGCTATTTGCTGAGCTGATAGCAAACAGGCTTTAAATGATCATTTAAATCTGTCTGAGAAAACAATCATATTGTAGGTGGAGCTGCAGAAATGTCAGAAGGCCATCATGAATGAAAAGGAGAGACAACACATTTGTAAATGTCGTATTAAATGTGGTTCTTTACATAAAAGAGGGAAAATAAAAATATCAAATTAAATCTGCAAAACTGCTCTGGCTGGAGCATTGGAATTATTGGCCAGTAGCCAAATAATAAAAATGTATAATGTAAAAACTCTAAAGCCACATGCTGCACTTCACGTCCATATCTGCAAGGCTTGGGCAATTGGAAAACAAGATTAAATCTAAAGAAATCTGACGAACCCTGGCGATGAACCTTTTAACAAAGTATTTGTACACAGATTACATTTTTTAATACAACAGGTAAATGTGGATAATTCTCATTGTTATTTTTGAATTATTGCTCAGCTTTATATTCTAGAAAGCATTTGGTTGAAGTAATGCTGCATGATATGATGATAGAGATCCGTCATCTCCATCATTCAGATTGATTTTATATACAAAAGAAAAAGGACTATTTATAAGGATCTGGTTGGTGATATTCAAAACTTATGCTAATTGTTTACATCCACATTTGCTTCTCTAATAAGGGAACGTCTATGTGAGAATGAAACGACAGTGTGTTCATGATATTAAAACCACTTATCTCCTAACGCAACATTAATGTGTTTATAGTTTTTGGATAACAATGGAGCTCTATTGCACAAAGTAAGAAGACATATAAGGCTATTTATACTTTAGTTACAAAGATCAATTTATAGATGGTAAAAATCAATCAGCATTATTGGATTTTCCTGGAGCACCTGGAGTATTTTACACGTGCACTACTCACCGATGGTGTTGAAGCAGTGGATGTTCAGGCCCGCTGGGCTGCGCTCTCCTATGTGGATCTCCTCCAGGCTGTGGTCTGAGCTGTTGGTCAGTATGACCTGAACAGCCACCATACTGGGCTCGTACAAACAGGGCTGCCTGGGGAAATGGTACTTGGCTGACAGGCCTTTTCCAGTCATATGGTGAAGCAGCTCGTAGGTTTTCACAGGGCCGAAAGATGGAGTGGTGACCTAGAAGGATATATGAAAAAAGACATGAATAAACCTCAACAATGACTGACTTTAATGGTGATTTTATGTGGACAGCTACATCAAAGAGCAGAAGGAAGATGAGAGAACATTGCAAAGAAAAGAAGCTCTCCACATCAACACAATATGTGGGACGCCTTGTACATTACGGTGCAAATGCATCCACACAAGAGGACAGATTAATACAAGAATCTCCACTCTTTCTATCCTAGATTCATGCAATTCACCGTGTCCAATCAGCAGGCAGAGTGCAGCACTTCTGAGTGGAGTGGGACCAAGGGTTGGCTGATAAGTCCCCACCAACCCTCCCTTCATTAACTCTGTAGGGTAAAGAGGAGCCCATTTAAGACATGTCCTCAATCAGCCCAGTTAGATGGAAATGGGCTGGATGCTCTGTCAAACCAGGCTGAATCAAAACAACCTCTAATGAATAGAAACACAAGTGCCTGCATGGGCCAAACTTGCCGCTCGCAGGTCTTTTTAAAAAGGAGCTTTTACCCTTTCAGAGGCAGGAAATTGAATTACCTTTGAGAGATGTGGAGAAGAAAGGAGACGGATTTAGTGGGTGGTGTTTTCATTCTCTTTCAAATTAACATCTTGTTACTTGGAAGGAACATTGTTCACACTTTCAGTTTTTTCACTTGACTGTAACAAATGTCAGCTCTTGTCAGAAAGATTAGGTGGTTCGGCCCACACAACGCGACACACGCACTAAACATGTTGCTCTGTGCAACATAATAACATAATAAAAGCATGAGAGTGACGGCACTAATGAGTTCAAAACATCACAACGAACAAAGCCTTTTCACACCCTCTGAGACACTTAGCACCTGCAGAGAACATATTCATACGCTGACACGGAGCAACACTGCTGCAAATGAGGATAAGTTCAGTGACTAGAAAACTAGCTTTTTACCACTACACCTGAAAGCCATAACACATATTTAGTCACACTAGTGATAAAAAAAAGGAAACAAATATATATATCTTGAAGAATTATATGAAACACCAGTGGTATGAAACAGGTTCTGTAAATAGCAAGAAATAAAAAAATCTAAGAAATAATTATGCCAATGAATATGACTCATATGATGTGAAGAAGCACAGTGGAGACGTGCAGCTCAGTGTTGAGTGCTGTCAGGGTACATTGTGTTATTGAAGCCGGACACACTGGCAGCGTGTTCTGACTCGAGTGAGAGATGTACGAGGCGTCCTCCTCCGACTTGTCATGTGCCATGTGAGGATGAACAATCGCTTTGACATACAACAAGAGCAGCGGAGATGAGATTCAATGTGTTCACTTTACAAGCCATAAAACGCTCAGCTACTTTGTAATGCATCAGTGAGACCTCAAAAACCAACAGGTTTCAGAGTGAAGTTGTCTAAAATGTTACATTTATGTTTTTTTTACTTAGAAATTGACCTACAAATAAGTCATAAAGCATAAAGGAACCTCCGCTTTGTGAGGAGGGGAAGTATCTGAATACTGACGTGATGCATGTGTGTGCGGATTTTGAAAAAACAGGTTACTACAGTGAAAGTATTGTTATGCATGTTTTTGTATTTTTTATGTATGTACAGTAATAAGCGATACTCGCAGATAACTTCTTGGCCAGGTCACAATGCAATATATGTTTTAAAAGTGTTATTAAAAGAACAAAGACATAGCTCAGTGTATGTTATAAACTGGAAACTAAATGCATTTGTGACCCGTTTTCAAATATGTAAGTCAAGTTAGGGGAGAATAGGCCTGGGTATCATATTGGCACCAGTAAAACACATTTTCACACTACAGTCTGCCCGCATCACATCAGACAGAGATTAAACTGTCCGATCCCACCACCATCTCTCAGTCCCCTTGACGGAGCAGCAGTGTCTCCGGTGACCAGACCAGTGAAAGAGGTCAAACAAACATTTGTTGCCGTGCCGTAACGTCGCTGCGCCCTCACAAGCGCCCGTCACGCCACCGCCAGCCCCTGCAAATTTATTGGGCCACTTTTGGATGTGTCAGAGCAGTCGGTGTCGATAAAGCTGGCCATAATGTTGGCCACACCATCACAACAGAGATTTACCTCCCTGACACACACATCCGGCTTCAAGGTCCTGTCTGTCGCCTCAACCGAGCAAGGAACAGAGACAGGACAGCGCTTCAAACTGCTTATTATCACCAATTTGACACAGTGGACAGTTAAAGCCTGACACTAGCGCCCCAGCAAGCGCCTTCACTCTTCCATCCATTGTTGTCCTGTAAGCCCATAACACCTCAAGTGTAAATAAGAGAAGAAGGGGGATGTAACCTTGACTTCTCTGTCAGGCCCCCCCTTTCTTTCTTTGGCTCCTATTCTCCACCCTGGACAGGAAGGAGGGAGGTGACAATGAGCGAGGAAGTTGATTGAGAGGCTCTATTATGCATCAACTTAAAGGAAGCCCCCGTGATGGATGACACAGACACCAGTCACCTTCAGAGCCCGGACGCCACGCTCACAGCATCCTCTATCGCAAATGACCTGAAAATCCAGCTGACATATTCAAAAAAAGGGCTAAACTGGAGCTGTGGTAGCCTTGTGCCGTGTGCATAAGAGGGCCAATTTAAAAAGAAAGTGGTGAGAGATGTATGGGCATATATTGATAATCCATTTCTGTTTTTCAGAGCACGTCTGTCTCCAGCACAAGGGACAGGATTTCATTATGCTCTACAAGAGGTGTGAGGATTAAGGTAAGGGACACATGTTTGACTTTAGGCCCTAATTGTTCCCCTCAGTCAGGAGATGACAATTAATTGAGGGGGCGTCACAAGGACCTTGACTACAAATTGGATTAAATAAATGTTACTACAGCCATCTTAAACTACTTTAATGTAACAAGAAGTTTCTCCGGCGCATATAGACAGAGGTTACTTAATTTATGCCAATTTGTCAGTAAATTAGGTATTTTAAAATGATTCATTTTGAAATTTTCCATTAAAGAACATTAGCAATAATAGAGGATTGTTATTCAGAAACAGCATTGTCCTTCATTTAGTTGCTAACAGTTTCTTTGTCTTAGCATTATATTTAATAGAACAAAAGGAACCCACTAATGACTATTTCCATTATTAATTAATAAAAGGATTATCATGGTTTCTTAATTCAAATGTTAGAAAATAATTAAACTTCCCAAATATTGTTTTATACATGATGTTAAGAGATTCTTTAATATTGTTAGTTCACTTGTGACAGATGAAAGTATGATAAAAATACGGTAAGTGCCAAAAGAATTGGGGAAAACAAGGGTATACTTTTTTTTATTCTCATTTTCTGCTACTTCATATTTATATACTACTCTTTTTTTTGAAAGGAAAATATACTTACATTATATACTTTAAGTTCAATTTTGAGTTCTTAAAAAAATAATTAATAATAAAATAATAATAAAAAAACTATTTTCCTATGTGGAAGTTAGTTTGGTTGATTGGTCAAATCGTTGTAATTCCTAGTGTTGCTTAATTTTTAGAATCTAAAAGTAACTACAACTTTTGATGCAGCACAGGGGTATTTATACTATAGTACTGTTCATTATGCTTTGGCACAGGGTCTGAATATTCCCTTCATCACAAATAAATAAGCGGCATAATACCACAGCAATGTTGGCAGTGATATGGTATCATTTATATTTATATTTTAAAATGAAGGGTTAAGACCGGAATTCACCATAACACAGACACACACACACAAAAACTAGTCCTCACAGAGTTGCTAAAACAAACTAATAAGAAAACAAATGCTGCTACAGCTGCCTTCAAACACAAACATTTCCCAAACTGTCCAGTCACTGCGCGGGCACCTGCAGCAACTGTGTGGGCATTTATTTCTCTTTAAGAGGCAATCTCCGCAGTTTGAGTGGCAGCGGGAGGGTTGGAGGGCAGGGGCTGCTATATTCGTGACGCCTGGGGTCCTTCTGCTGATTCATAATTAGACGTGAACCCAGAGCGCCCACTACGGGGGAGGTCAGTGGGGTGAGGGGGGAGGAGGGGGAGGAGAGGGGGGTGAGCTGGCGCCCGCCTGATGGACACCAAATGAACAAATTATGATGGCCCCCTCTGGGCGTGATGGGGTCAAACGGCGTGCGCCCCGCCGCTGACAGTTCAATTTCCCCCCAACGCAGCCCCATTCGCTGCCTGCTAATTATGAATGAAAAGTTATCAGCCTCAGCCGCCCCGCCGCACACACGGACAGCGGTCGGAAGAGGTTTCGGGTGGGGTGGGGTGGGGGGGATTTAAGAGGCATTTGTGAGAGATCCTAATGTCAAAATGTTATTAGAGAGAGCGGTAGCATGCAGAAACTGGGGAGAGGAGGAGGAGGCAGGAGAGGAGGTGGGTCAGAGACAGTGACCAGGGTTAATCTAAATGCCTTTGATAACCATGCAGTAATTCTCTAAAAGGGCCCGAGCGCTCAGCTGAGACAGACTCGCTGCCTCTGTGGGCAGATTGCTGAGAAATAGAAATGACACTGGGGCCAATATGTGTGAGTGTGTGTTACTGTGTGTGTGTGTGTGTGTGTTGATATGTAATCGTGTGCATGCGTGGGGAGGGGCGAGTGTGAATAAAGGTGAGGTTATTTACCCTTGTCTATGAATCCCGATGCCCATCATGTATTTATGCATAGAATTGACTCTAAATCAGATGTTGATGTGCAAAAAGTTCCCTGTTCTAATCTGCATTTCTATTCTCTATTACTCCATGGCCTTCACCTGAGGAGGAGGAGAGAGCGACTAACAAGACTGCATAAACGCTGGCCTGAGAGCAGCTGTCAATCATACTGACTGACAGGCGCGCAGGACTGACGGGTGGACAGAATATAGAGCACGGAGCTGGAGTCAGTGTAGAGGCCCGTTCAGACTGCTTGTGAAAAGACATTTGTTTAAAAAATGTTAGTTAACACAGACTTAGATAAATCAGTCACTTTAAAGCATCTTTTACATGATGACTTGAAGTTTCCCATTGTGTATTTAACAATTAATTAGACAATAAATTAACTGTTTCATCACATTAAGATTGCCTGAAACTCTTTAACTTCAGGGGAGTTTGTCTTAATATATTATTACGATCAAACAGGCTTCCTGATTCCACATTCTTCAGGTCTTAATGTTTTAATTGGCTGTAACTTTAAATGTACCGTGTAGTAGAGAGAGTTGTATTGATCTTCTCATGTAACTGAGAAAAGCAAAGAAGCAAGTGTACGTGGTACAAACTTAGTTTGAAACTGACATTTATGTCAGAAGGAATCAGATGTTAAATAATATTATATTCATGTCATAATATACAGTAAGACTAAATATGGTTTTAGATTTGGGATATTGTATGGCAAATGTGTCTTTTCCTGGTTTTAAAGGCATTACAGTTAAGTGATGAGATTTCAGAATTTCTTACCAGACTGTTCAAGCTTTTCTATTACTTGCCTTCACCTACCTTATTATATTACTGATGAATATCACACACAAAAAAGGAAAGGCTTTCACAAACATACTACACACTACACTATTGTCAAAATATCGATAGCAGGGTAATTGTTTATTTGTTTTTTTATATATATATTCATATTTATTGCCTCCATCATGGCCATAGGAAATTGTGATGGGATTCTTGAAGACATTTTAATTGATAACTGATTACATGATCGATCAAAGAAATGTAAAAAAGATGAATCTTTAATCATGAATGAATCACAAATTGTCGTGTCTTGAAGCCCACCTTCATCATCATGAGTAATCTATTTACAACAAATAACTTGAATAAATCAAATTCAAGTCAAATGTCACAGAACTTATTAAAACCATATTAGCACCATCAGTGTTCTGTTGTTAAATCTTCAAACAGCAGAGTTAGCACAGACCTGGCTGTGAGACACACAATAGAAACAGCAGGAAGAATGGTCTGGACATATTCCTCCCAGGGGGGGGGGGAAGACAAGATACAAAATAAACAGACGTGCAGAGTCGCTCACACACTGAGGAGAGAAAGGAGCCGTCACACTAGGAAAGGTCAACCATCAGATATACACAACGCCGAGACACAAGGGACGCAACATCTGACAGAGAGAGATGGAAGGTGACAGAGAGGAGGAGAGAGATAAGGGGGAGAGAAATACAGCGGGTGGACTTATAGATGAGACGCAGAAATAGAGTTCAAGGGTGTGGACGAGCAAAAGACGGCGAGGGTGAGAAAGACAGACTATAAGAGATACAGGAAACAGGAAGAGCAGTTGTGCCGCGCTGACTGGCTATAAATATTAGGAGGCAGAAAAGGTCAATAGTCGGCGTCTGGAGCTGAAATGTTGCACAGGGGAGAGAGAGGCTCATTTCAGCATCTCATACGCTGCTGCGCTGCTATATCAGTGTCACACAGAAAGGAACAAATGACTCTGAACGCACAGTGATGGAGGGGGTGTCATCCTGTGTGTTTTCTAATGCAGACACACACACAAAGTATACCACCACTAACCTGCATGGTGGAGGAGATGTTGGAGAGAGAAAGGCCCTCAAGGTCCGAGAGCAGGCTGGAGGAGATGACCGAAGACTTTGGTGCATTTGTGGGAGCAGGAGAAACTAAAAGGAAAATTGTAGGCATGTTAAAGCCAACAATGAATAGAGTACAACTTGCATTAATGTGTATCAAAGGTTATTTTTGATAGTGTCACAGAGAGACATCCAAAGACATTACAACTACTGTAAAACGTTTTTGATAAAAAAGTAGATTTATATACCAAAGTGTACTGTTGTTATTATTGTGGCCTCAGAAAATACATCTATTTCAGCACATCATTTCTAGAGAACCACCTATTTGTGTTTGGTCTGGTGAAAAAGGGTTTAATGTGAGAACAGGCTATAAAACAAAAACAAGCTGAGTTGAACAGCAAAGCTGGGTCTGTGACCATAAGTACATTTTAAGACCCAGGCATTTGATTCTGTGTATATAAAAACTTTATAATAAAAAAAGAAGCTTAGATTACAAACAAATATGTCGTGATTTACAGCAGTAGAGTAAAGATAAACTCACAGTCAACTAGATCCAGTAAGGAGACTTCCACCTTGGACTTCACTTCCGCCTGAAAAACACAGGAACGTGATGATGAGTTACATATAACAAGGAAATTACAGAAATAAATTACACCTAGAAACAAAAGTACGGAAAATGTGTTGTGTTATTCAGCAGCCAGAGTGGCTCAACTCTTCTGGCTGTGTCTCTCGCTCACTCTAAAAACTGATCCTCTGCACTTATATAAAACACATCAGAAATCTTTAATGACCAGTCGTGCACAGTGTCGTGTCACAAACTATAGCGGCTTGTCAGGTGTTGACTTGTGAGGATTAAAACCAAGGGATGTAGCTGGCAACAGAACAGGGCCAATACAAATGCATTCAAACATACAAGCACTTTTATCAACCTTTCTACACACCCTCCTAACCAACCAGGGGTCCAATCTCGTCACAAAAATAACCAAGAAAACTCCACTCTGCATACTCTAGGCTGAGCAGACAGGAAGGAGAATAAAAAACAGTGGAGGGAGTGAGGAATTCAAACAAACAATAAAGTTAGAAGCCGTATCTTATCAGATGGTCTCTTATTGACGCTTGGTGGCAGTAATGGGGACGGAAATGTTGTTAGTAAATGAGAGGCAGAAAGAGAGAGGTTTTTAGAAAGAGAGGGGGAGAAAGATGCATAATTCATAGGCTGAGTCCAAATGACAAATTGTAAGAAATGAGAATTTCATAGTGCAGGAAAGGAAAGGGACGGGTGAGAAATAATGAGTATTATAGGTAAGAAAAAGATGGGAAGGGGACAAATAAATTAGGTGTAGAGACTAAATAAACCTGATAGCACAGGAGAAAAATTAGCACCCTGTAATATATATTGTGATTTGACGTTTTCACCACATGGGGAATATACCAGGTTTTTTTATACAGAAGAATAGAAAAATATCAAAGCAGTTCAGAAAAATATTATTCTTATATTTTTGGGACATCCGGATGTTTGCGGCTCACTCTAGTCTGCACATTGCTGTCCATTAGAAAATGATTCTTCTGATCTCCCCTGTAAAACCATTTGTTTATCTTATATCAAAATTAAATCAATTTCTCGGGTACAACTGAATCAAGTCACCTTAGGTTTGGACTTAACGTCTTTCTTCTTCTTCTGTGGTGTAGCGGGGGGGTCTGAGTCCTCGGAGTCTGTCTCTGATCCGGAGGAGCTTTCAGCTGACGAGCTGCTGGCCTGAGCTACAGGACCATTTCCATTTTCATCTGAGTCACTGAAACACACATAAGAACAGAAAATATGAATTTATGCGAATTCAAGGACTGCACATCTACTTAGTATTTACATAAAACTCATACAGGTTCCATTGATACAATTTGAACAAATTGTCTGGAAACCATTAGGCAAACAAACTTTTATTTTATTTATTCTCCATCCGAACTAAAAGCTTGAGCGTGGCGCGGTCAGAACAACAACGATCAATTTGTTTTTGTTTGTGAAGCTAATTCAATGTTGCATTCACTCAAAAAGATTTTTTCCATCTTCCTCCTCTCTCTTTCACTTGCTCTGTCCCTCTTCAATTTGTCCCGATAATGAGTGTTTACTCCGCCTGCCTGGGATTTTCAGCCATTAAATTAATGAGGGGAATTGTGACGGTAACTGGCTTTTTAACTTGGGCGATGATGAAAAGCCAGTATTAATTTGGCCTACAGATTTCATTTGCTGCGAACAGGAAAAAGTGATATAAATCACTGTGGGCCTGATTAGGCCCTGCCTGAAATGACTGGGCCATAATGAGGGCATTATGCTGTGTTTGTTGTGGAAGCACTGGGGTGAGCTGCTCTAATTACTGTGTGTATGTGTGTGTGTGCGTGTTTGTGTGTGTTTGAGCACTGGGGTGAGTTGCTCTAATTATACTCTCTAATGGAGAGAACAGGGTCAGCCGGCGGCCTGTCACACAGCAGATTCAGGTACAATGTGTGTGACTGTGTGTGTCCGTGAGCAAATGAAGTAGAAGTGCATAAGAAACTAAATGTGCCCGTGTGTAAGAGTGTGTATGTGAGCATATTCAGTAGTAATGACTCAAATCTCATTCATTGGCAACACCAGGCTGCTAAATGACCAATCAAAAGTCATTATCCATTAGCCATGTAAATGTGGGTTACGCTACTGGAGGAAAATTTTCCTTGATTAGCTTGTTAATGGAAGTCACACTAACGATAATCTAGCAGCTCTGCCAGCCTGGTGTGTGTGTATCCGTGTGTGTGTGTATCCGTGTGTGTATCCGTGTGTGTGTGTGTGTGTGTGTGTGTGTGTGTGTGTGTGTGTGTGTGTGTGTGTGTGTGTGTGTGTGTGTGTGTGTGTGTGTGTGTGTGTGTGTGTGTGTGTGTGTGTGTGTGTGTGTGTGTGTGTGTGTGTGTGTGTGTGTGTGTGTGTGTGTGTGTGTGTTACAGAGAAGGTGTATGTACAGTACAATAGGTGTGTAATGGCTCATTGACTAAACTGTAATCTCCTTTCAGAAAGATGGTAAGATTCGTTGTCCTTTCTTAAAAAAACATACATTTGGTGAACATAAGCGTTTTATTTTTTTTACTTACAACATTGTTATCTGCTCCTGCTCGAGTCTTGTTTGTTAAAAAGGACATACAATTACAACTTTTTAGTGAAACTGTTGTTAATTGTGGTTGTATACGATGAATATATTTTAAAATGTATCCTTTTATTTGGGGCATAAGATCTACAAAGAGTTTTTAATATATTATAAAATAGCGAAAGACGTTAACAGAAGTGGGTTTGAGCTTATTTATTCAGCAAAGCTCTGATCTCATCTGTTGTTTACGACGCCTCTGATTCCTCTCACAAACACACAGCTGTCTAATCAACTATGTGAGGACGAGGAAAAAGAGAAAAATATGAAACATCTGGACACACAAACTGCAGGGAAGAGAAATCCTGCTTCCAGCCTCACACAGATGGGAGGGGTTTAACCGTACCTGAAAGCAGCAGGTGGCTTGCTCTTCTTTTGTGGTGCCTTCTTGGTCTTTTTCTTCTTCTTTGGTTCAGTTTCAGATTCACTGGAGCTTTTCTCAGATCCACTGGAACTCTTTCCAGAATCACTGGAGGTCTTCTCTGACTCTTCACTGCTTTCCTCCTCACTCTCACTGCCGGACTCTGTACAGACACACAGATATACAGAACGTTAGTATAAACAGTATATCAAAGACTGGTGAATTTACGTCCTATATTTTCATGAAATCAAACACTGTTTGGATAACTTCTATAGTCGGCATTTTATCAGTAGAATCAACTAATTAACAATCTGAATTTACCTTTTTATATTGTATATTTTTGGAGTGGCAGAGTACGAAATTCTTGCCCATGTTTTTAGTTCACAGGCCTACGCAGGATTTAGAATTAAATTAGGCATGCGTGTAATCCAGCATTCTGTTGTGATGTTAGCTTATTGATATCACTGTTAATTCTCCTAATATTTGATCAGAGCTGTATTCATTTACTGCCAATTCTAACTAAATCCCCCCTTAGATTGATAAGATTGGCCATCATTAACTGACTTCTTGTTTGGTTGCACTGTAAACAGACACATCAGTTGCTCTAGCTGTAGCTGCCTAATGTGTGTTTACTGCTTTGAATTCTTGGACCTGTAGTATTTAACTGCACTTGACTTATCCACAAGTGACAAAACGTGTCATCAAATCTTAATGATCATAACTTCTATACACTATTTCACAAAGGCAGCAACAACACTTTTGGTCAAAATAAATCTGTGAGACAAAAACATGGGCTTTCAAACACAGAGACAGAAAACAAACCTTCACTGCTGCTGCTGCTGCTGCTGCTGCTGTCTTTACTGCTCTCAGATCCTTCCTCTTCCTTCTCCTCTTCATCGTCCGAGTAGAACTTGTCAGCAGATTTGGGTTTTCCTGATTTCTTGGTTTTCCCAACTGATGGTGCCCACTCTTGCACCTAAACAGATACATAGAAAGGATGTGAGATAAAGTAATTCCAGCATCTGAGATTTATAATTTAGGGATAAGTGTGTAACCAGATTTTAAAGTATTGTAATCATTCTGAGGGTTTTATTTAATAGGTGTTTAATGTAAACATAACTAGTTATACTGCAATGTCATTATTATTATTAAAAAAACAATACTAACGGGACAAACAACTACTAACAAAATAAAGTGTGTTGCCATTAGAAGTCTGTAAAGAGTTGGATATAAACGCCTTATACCTCTTGTTTGCTTTAATAGGATGCAATGGAACTAGTCAATTAGCCAGATTAAGTCAGTTTTCAATCCGTTTTTCCCAAGTTTCCAGATTTGTTCTCTGTTAAATCAACCTTATACTTAAAGCTAGAAATAAACTTTGTTGTGTTAGTTTTTTGTTGTTGTTAATTGTTTTATTAGGATCCCCATTAGGTGCTACAAAATAACAATAATAAAGCTGGTGCTCGGAGAAAAAAACAACACAGTCAATAATATCCCTCACTGAAAAACAAAGCCGTTAAGTTAAAAAAGTTCTCATCTGTGAGCAGTATGGAAGCCAATCCAAACCCAGCATCACAAACAACGGTTTTTTGTAATATAAAAGGAAACATTTTTGCACTTTTAACACCCACTGCTTTAACGTCAAAACAATATGAAACCATAGCGCTTCAATAATGTTTGTCAGACATAATGAGAAAGATTTCGTTCTGCAGGGATGCTGACAGTTAAGAGAGGATAAACAAACAGCTGTGTGTTAGAATTAAACACAAAGGAGGTAAAACTATGATAAGGAGAGTGGCATTAAGGTTGGTTTTCTTACTGGCTCAATGACCTCCACGTTCCTCACAGACTGATCAGGAGCAACAGCTGGCCAATCAGAGAGCTCCTGGTATCCTGCAGCTTTAGTGTTGAGGCTGTGGGAGAGAGTGCCCAGCTGGAAACGCTCTCGATCTGCAAGTACAGGAAAATGACACAAAAAGCACTGGGTTGACAATACGAGAGTGGTGTAAAGCAAGAAGGAGGTCACTTTAGTGAAATAGAGACTAACATTAAAAAGGTACGACCAAAAACAAAGCACATTTCAAGAAATAGCCATATGGAGGATAAAAGAAAAGCCACCTAATGTCACTGTGTCCATATAGAGACCTTTAATACAAGAAATAGGTTATAGGTATCATGCTTTAAAAATCAGCTCTCTGCTTTTGTACACACATAAACACACATTCACTCTTCTCTCTCTCTCTCTCTCTCTCTCTCTCTCCAGTAGCATAATGAGTGTCTTGGGAGATTAGTTCTAAAAACTGTGCTTTGCAAACCAAAGAGAGAAAAAAAAGAAAAGAAAGTTGTGAATATTAAGAATGACAGGGGTGGTTAACGCTTTCCATAAACATCCAGTAGGTGCAAACTGCTTCTGAATTTTAATGGTGTTGAAGGCTGTTTCTGTCCCTTCAGTAGAGAAAAGAGAGAGAGAGAGAGAAGAGAGAGAGAGAGAAGAGAGAGAGAGAGAAGAGAGAGAGAGAGAGAAGAGACAGCTAAATGAGGAGATTTCTTTTTCCTCCCAGTGTCTGAAAAAGGTTAGCATTAGCTCAATAATTTACCCATCTCATTAGTCCAAGGTAAAGGGGTCTGACCTAACTGCCCTTCAGAGGGAAAGACACACCAGAATAATAAAACTACTGTCTAAATCCACTTTGCATACTACAGGAAATAGAGTCACTAGATGTGAAATAGAGGTCCAGTTAATATGGATTCAGTGATTGGCTTTAGATGAATAACCAAACGTGAGAGGAATGGTATTCTATCTTAAAACCTCTACCTATTTAGAGGATTTAATGTGTGTTCAGTACCTTTGAAGGAAGACTCGAGGACAGGGGCTGGTTTGGGGGCCAGTAGGATTCGTCGGGCATACTTGTTGAGGGCGCCGCTCTTCTCGTTGGGCACAATCAGCTGTCTTATGAAGCGTGTTCGGTCTCTGATATCGTAGCTCTGGTCATATTTGCCGAGGTTCAGGATGTACTGGGTCAGCAGCTTAGTCTGGGGTCAGAGATGATGTGTAAGGGGGTTGAAAGTGAAGAGATTGGAGGAGACAAGTTGGGTAACATGTAAGACAGCAGACGGGAGTAAAAGGCAAGCATATGTGGGAAAAGATTGGTGGTTTATGATCTGGCTTAAGAAAGACACTTATTTGTTTGCTGGCCAAGAAAACATCATGACGACATTCTTGAAGTTTCAGGAAGCCAATGCCCCAGCTCGCTTATTGCAAAGAAGTACAATAGCTGGAGCACATTCCCCTTAAAACCACATCAAGTAATTTCTACTTAACTGTCTTTGTTTTGATTAAACAAACTAGATTTAAGATGTTCTTGTTTTAGAGCTTGTAAAGTGTTGGTCTTTGGATAGAGTCAGTCTGTTTCAATCTGTTCCCAGTCTTTATTCTAAGCTAATATAACTGTCTTCTGGCTCCAGCTCTGTACTCAAGGAACATAATGATTGGTATCAATCTAATCATCAAAAAGTGAATGATTTACAATTGTCCTATTCCCAGAAATGGATCAAACTAGGATAAACAGTAGGCAAATACCTTATATCCCACCAGTTTGAAAAGGTGGTCTCATTACCACATTCTGGATGAATAAAGTACCCTTCCTCTGGCCCAAAAACAGTAAGACAGAGCGTTTGACATGTATTATAAATGTATGTATAAAATGACTGCCACCATGAAGCCCACATTACAACCTGAACCCTTTCCTGAATTGTCTTTGTCTCTCCCTCTCTCCTTCTCTATTCTCCCCGACACATTACTAGGAGCAAGAGGTGTAATGATGGTTTGAGGAGGCAGCGTCTGGGCTCATAAACCCGGCTCAGAGGCCAAAATCACCCCCATTTCCCTGAATGGGCCTATAGACACCAAGCTGTGCGAGGAGATGCTCCATTACGTTAAAGCTGTCTCATTCACTGCTGTATATTTAAACTGAGCATTTACTTCCAGAAGTGTAATATTACACTGCTGTGTCTTGTGAAAAAAAAAACTTAAAAGGACAAATCATAAGCGCACAGTTAGATAACAGGGATTTGATTTATCTCTACTACAATCATTCAGATGCTAATTTCAGATATAAGCGTTAGTTAGCTTCATTATTCCTCCATGTGCAGGTCATCACACACACTCAGTATGAAATGTACCTGCTTGGAGTTGGTCAGGTAGAGTTTGGCTGCTAGGTTGACCGTCTGCAGCTTGACAATGTCCTCCTCTGCTGTGAAAGTCTTTGCCATCTTACGAAGGACATCGGGTGCAATTTTTGGCACCCTGTCACAGTACTCTCCCATCAGCCACAGGATGCTGGCACGAGCCATGGAGACCTGCAAGTCAGAATCAAAAAGAAGGAGCAATTAGAGTCAAAACATTATGGTGTCACAATGCCATTTTTGGAAACGTTCTAAACTTTCAAGTAGGGTAAGAGTAATACAATGATGAATCATACAGTGATGTTGTCGAAGAGCTTGGCCATGTGTTTGATGATCTCGCTGTGCTGGGTGGGCTGAGTCTGAAGCAACTTCTTGATCACCACCACACTCTCAGCCACCACAGTCTCTGCAAAGACAAATCAAACGAGTTATCACAATAGCAGACAGTCAGAGAACCTTAATATACAGAGGAAGGTAAACACTTGTTATCTGTAATCATTACTGAAAGTATTGTACCGTCTCTGTTGGAAAGCAGCAGCACCAGACCGCTGAGACACGTGTCTGTCACGTCGGTGATGTTGGTGGCACACCTGCCGATGGCCTGGATGGTGGCCGCGGCAAACGCTTTGTCCTGGCTCTTCACATAGGTCTGAAGAAAGGCAAGAGAAAGACGAAGTGAGGAGGAGACAGCAGGAAGTGTAGAACCCCAAATAGTAACACTGGTCTTTTAATGTCAATTACTGGGAGGAATTTAGAAAGAAGACACACACCTGAAATTCCCTCAGAATGGTGGAGATGTTGGCTTCATTGGCCAGGTTGGTCAGGATCTCCAACTACAAAGGAGAGGAATGTAGAAGTATGATTTTTAATTAGTGAAATGTTCCTCAGAAACCATTTCAAAAGGCTTTGGACGTGCAGCATATCGTGCATTATTAACTCTTAAAACAACTGCAAAAAAGTATTAAAGTTTATAAACATGTAGAAAACATTTGAACATGAGATCATGTGTTATTTTCAAAGCAGAAAAAGTTTTCGGTTCTGCTTAAATTCAAACTTTTAAATGTGTGCATGCATTTGAAATATCTGCTCTGTTCATGAGAGCAATTATCTTGATGTAACCTCCACTTTGATTTGCAAGCGCATTTTGTCCACAACCAATATTTTCTACACATTACAAACTTGAATGTCTCCAGCAGATATTTGGATAGCATTATAATGGGTAATAAACAACCACAGAGTGTGAAATCATTTCTGAACATCATTTCCCCAATCTCAATATCTTATTGGCCCTCATTTGAGCCCATATTGTGTAACAGTATGCCGTAATGCAAAAGATAAACTGGTAGACCTTCAGTGTTTTGATGTGTGTTGCATCCGTGGATCTGACATAGAAACTCTTCATGTAGGGCTCAAACATCCCCTGTTTGGAGATAATTCGTGCTATTAGGCAGACTGCACCAATCAATCAAGACAGTAATATTGTTCTGAAGTCCTCAAGCAGACTCACCTTCCTCTGAATGGACATGGTGGCTATATTCTGAAGCACAATGTACTGCACCTCTCTGCACAAAAGAAAGGGAAATAATCAGACATTAAACAACATGGATACACTGTGTCACAGGAAGTCATTTATTTTTAGCTAATTTAGGTAAAGGGAACATTTTATTCTGGATTACCTGTGGCTTCTTAGCAGTCGAACCAGTGACTTGGTGACAATGTTGACTTCCTGCGTAGGGGCCAAATGCCAATAGAGCTGAGCGACACACATCACCACCTAAAACACAAAGGAATTCAGTTAGATATCTTTGCAATTTAACCTCTTAATACATTCTAAGATCTGTCTTTAAAAAGGGGCCCTTTTATGCTTTTTGGGGTTTTCCCTTTCCTGTAGTGTGTTATAAACATCTCCATTGGACATCTTGGTTTTCTTCCATAACTTAGTGAAATCACCATTTAACACTCACGCTTCTATGAGCTAGTGCTTGTAAGTGATAGGTTAAGGGGCGGGACATCTCTAAGCGGTTGACCAATCACAACAGAGCCAGCCAGCTAACCAATCAGAGCAGACTGGGCTCTGGTTTCAGACAGAGGGTGAAAAGAAGTGCTGCAGCACAGGCAGTACGAGAAAGATAAAGAGCTTTTTGAACATTAAAGCATGTAAATGTGACAGTAGAGGAACACAATACATATAAGAACCTGAAAATTAGCATTACTGTATAGGGCCCCTTTAAGTTGCTTTTTGTTCTTTCCAGAAAGTGCTGCCCACTTTTGACTCTTTATGTTACTTTTTCTCTATTTAATGTTTAATAAAATCTGAGAAACGCACCTTGTAACTTGAAAGCTCTATGTTTTTATTACACCACCATCAAGATCGTACCTATGCTAAAATAAAATACTTTCACACTCATTTCTTAGAGCTCTACAAAAGCACTCATGACCGACTTCACAGTATAAAAGGTAATTTTTCAGCGGAGCTTTAAATAGCAGGCGGACGTGTGTCCATCGTTGCAGGCAGAATGAAGGGGGTTCAGGCGTCTATGAAGATGGAGGATGTCACTGTGTTGCCGCGAGTAAAGACACAGCATGTCACATTTTAATCAACACTTTCATTTGGGAGCATTTTTCCTCCCGCTGCTACACAGCTACAGAGACCTTGAGGCTCCTGGGTGATGGAGATCTGCACTCACTGTGTTTTTTATCTTATTTTTTTTACAATATGGTAGGCAGGTGCAGGTGTGTGCGTGTGCGCGTGTGCGTGTGCGTGTGCGTGTGCGTGTGCGTGTGCGTGTGTGTGATCTGGTGTTTTGTTTCTAGGGTCGGTGTTGTATTTGTGGAAGAAAAGGTATTTTGAAATGCATTACTGCTGGGAAATGAATTTAAAAGTGTGTGTTCATCTATACAGTATAAGACTATAGAGTAGCTTTTATCTTAAGCCCGTGTTGAGATACGAGAAGAGGAAGCACTCAGAAACCTTCATCCAGGTTTAAGCAGCACACACATTTACACACTACTTGAATTTGGCTGTATATGTGTGTTTAAGTGTCCAGCTCACTCACAGCAGTGTTCCTGCTCTGCAGCAGAGGTTTGGTGTTCCTCAGCAGCAGTCTGTGATCTGGATCCATGATGTAAGGCTTGGCCTCCGTCGTGTCTTTTTTCTCCTCAGAATCAGAGTCATAGAACGCCTTATCATTGTTCTCATCAAATATGGCACCCTGAAACACAGACAGCACAAACATTACACTAAAGCACAATGTTTTTCAGAGGATTATTGTGAGATACAATTGCCCGAACTTCAAAGTGGATTGAGCAAATTGAGTTTTATATTGACAGTACTTCTCTTATAGTAACCTTTTTTTTTCCAGTGCTACAATCATTAATTATTCTTTTAACTTCACTTCTATAGAGGAGCCATTTGACATTTACCCAGAAATCATTTTTGTGCAGATAATATCTGAATGTATTTAACATTCAAAAATGTTGTTTGTAAAAAAAATCATTTAAATACCATATATTTTAAATCTAAATACAGAAGTTTAACTCAAATCTTGACTTTCCCCCAGATTTGTGTGGCAGAATAAACATTTACATAATTATACTTTAAATTGGATAAGGGAGGTGCTATTCTCTAAATACTTTTGGAAATTCCCAGCTTGTCTTGAAGATGTCATTTTAGTAGTTTCTTCAAACAGCTGGTCACTTTAGTTTTCAGCAAACATTATTCAAACAAGAGGATATAGTGCATATGTTGATGACTATTTCCTGAAAGTAGATAAACACACAAGTAAGTATATTGTGAATGCCACTTCCTCAGGTGATGAGTGCCTCACCTCCTTCCAGGGACTGGTGAACTGCGTCCTGGCGTAGCGCGTCAGCATGGAGATGATGACCACCTGGCCCCACTCCTCCACATCCACCAACAGGTTACACAGCTTCCTGTAGTTCTTATGGATCAGGTCAATGCGATCCGGACACACCTCCTCAAAAGCCATCACCACACTGCCGGCAACCAGCTACAGAAAGGAACGGAGACAAGTAGAAGAACAAGAAAAAATAAACAACTCATGAGGGAAATGCTGTTGTTTTGTATGTATTCCTCTCCAGTATTAGCATTGGAGTTAATGGAAGTTGAGAGGATATGTAGCAGACAAATTGAACAAATACTTTAACTCTAACTAAGTGGTAATTTAAAGACTCTAGAGAAATAAAGACTGGTTAACAGATATGACCCTGGAAGAAGAAAAAACACGATAATTCCTCTTTAAAAAAGAATAAGGCTAATTTAAACCACATTCATTACAATACACACAGTTCAGCCTCTGAGTAGTTGATAATTAGAAGGAAAGAAGGTTTGCACTTGAATTTTTAACTCATTTATTTGACTCAAGCCTGTGAAATAAATCCATCAATGAGACCTATTTTCCCCATGAATTAACATTTTCTCACATACAAAACCCACTTTATGTTCAATTTACAGAGAAAGGCGGACAAGGAGGAAGCAGCAGCTGAGAGAGAAAATGTATTTATATTTTTTTAACCCATTTGGCTGCCCCCCCCACCACCCAACTGCGTGCTGGCTTCACTGACTGCCTGTGAGACTGAGTGAGTGACATGGCGGTGTATTAATATGCAAACAGCATTATCATGGGCAGGCGAGGGTGGAGAAGAAGAGAGAGGCAGCAGAATCTGGTCTTCCCAATTAAAGCCTTCTGGCCCCGGTGGCCCTGTGGGAACCCGGTGCATTTACCCATCAGCATTGTCATGAGCCTGCATTGATTGTGTGTGAGTGTGTGTATGATATGTGTGTGTGTGCACGGCTGCCGTCTGTATATTCTCAGAGAAATCTGGACCTTAAATCCGAGTGATGATTAGCGTTTCTGACATCTACACACTAATACTGATGAATGGATCACTGCAGGATCAAACAACTGCTTTTTATGGCATCGCACTGATGTATGAAGTTAAATATATAGAACAACCCACATCAATTCTAGTTACATTTAAACAGTGAAACGTGCAGGTAGATCCAGTAAGTGTAATAACATGATCAAGCTAGCGTAATACCAACAGTCTGGCATGAAAATGCATCTTATGATAAAGATAAAGGAGGTGTAGATTCAGCTGTATGATCATTTTGGAGGCTGCAGTTGATGGTGCTCTTGAGTTATGTTGCATTATACGGAGAGCTGTTTCTAATATTATGTCCAACCTATTTATATCAACAATAACAGGTTATATAACAGACAATACCTCCGTTTTTGTGTGTGCAATACAGATTAAATCAACACTATATCCTTCAAATGATCAAATGATTTGATCAGCACATATCTAAACGACTTCAACAAACAGAAGCATTATTACCTTACTGAAAACGATGTGTTGTTTTAATAGACTGCATTCGTTTTAGCAAACTATATAGCTAATAAACTGGCAATTGAGAGCTTATTTACGAAAGCCTAGACATCCAATTTATATAATCATTCTTGATAATCCACAAAACGTGATATAAACTGTTTTTATGGTAACTACAGCAGTATGGATTAGTCTATTAATAGGAGAAACAAATGATCAATAATAAATACATTTTCTGTACAGTTTGCAGCATTTAAAAATGAAATTTCACGATTGTTTTACGTTTTAGATATGAAATAGAATATCTTTGGGGTTTTGACTGAAAAAACGACCACATTTAAAAAGCATCACATTGGACTTTAGGAAACTGAGATGTACATTATTCAATATTTCCTACATTTGATAGACGAATGATTCATTTAGAAATATTAAGGAGGTGGAAAATTGACAATAATCATTATTTGCAGGCCTAATAGGGAGTAATAGGAAGTAGTTCCAATGACAAATGTTCACAGTTACCAGTGTATAGACTAAACAAAATCATGACTTTACATATCTATGTTAAAGTGGCTTTGCAGTAGCTTGAAGTAAAGCTGGTGTTTTTAGTTAATATATCTGCCAATAAACACACTCAAAGCTGTCAATTAGAATACATAAAGTAAATTCAGCATGTATTTTTCTCCCCTGGTATTCTCCCAAGGCCTCTCCTGTCTCTGAGGCTATTACAGGCAGCAGTGTTTCTGAGCATGTGGATCCTGCTGCAAGGCTTTGTGCATTCTCCACCAGCTTCCCCCATTAGACACAGCTCCAAGGTAAACTACATGCACCATCAACAAAACTGACACCCCAATCTATGGAGTTCATACGCCGCCTCCCCCCTCCTCGACCGTATTATCTAGCCTGCGTGACAAGCCGGTAATGGAAAAATCACACTAAGCAAATGGTTCTTCTAATAACAATAAATTTCCTATAAAATTATGAAGGGGCCCAAACCGTTTCCTTGCATCTATTTTGCTATGAATTCTAATTAGGGTGCCAGGGAGGCAGAGAGTGCTGGGTCATCACGCCAGAGACAACGTGCGGCTTTTTGATTGATGGCCCGGTGTGGGGTCGGCCTATCCTCCCTTCCCTTCCCTCGCTCCTCTCCTTCCTCCCTACTTTTTTCCCCTCTTAAATTAATGGGCATCACACCTAGCCCCTTATCATAGCCCCCCCCCCCCCCCCTTCACCCTCCTTTCTGTTCTCATTTCAATTTTGCCGAGGGTGCAGGGGGGCGGGGGTGGTGGGAGGGATCGATCATTTATCTTGTAATGGCTGGATAATAGATCCATCACGGTAAAACAGCTGCACAAACTCCTATGTTGTCTCTGTCATCGGGCCCTTCCCATTTTCTCTTTAAACCATCCTGCCTATAAGCAGGCCGCCGCGTGTCACAGCCATTTAACCAAACAGGCACATCTGTAAAGGTAAATGTCAGGAGGCCCGGACAGAAACACACTGGAACAATAAGCAAATGTTTCCGTGCGCTACAGGCAGCACACTGACATCAGCTAAATACCAGTTTCCTAAATTAATTCACTTATTTGCAGTTAAATCGATCCACTAACACATAACTCTGTATTAGATGTCTGGAAATATGGGTGATGAACTGATACATTAAGGTGGCAATAAAGCTTTTACAGCATTCTTTTTAGAGCAGGACAAGCAGGTGTAATTAATAACATTAGGATTAGGACACTTGATGGAACCAAACAATCATTAACAGAATTAGCTACGCTTTTTCTGCTACAGTATAGAAAGCGGTAGAAGTAGTGTCGTTACCCAGTATCTAAAACATGAAGTAAGCTATGCAGACACTACAGTGTAAATTGCTTGTAGGTGTGAGTCATTTTCACACAAAAAAGGCAAAAACTCACAGAATTAGTACATTTTTATACACAAGGAATTTGCATCGGTGTTTGGTAAAGATACAAAAATAAAAAGCAAGTTCGGTGATTGTCAAAAAACGAAATAAGAAGAAAAAAACATGTTCAAATGTAAAATGAAAGTGTGGTGCAGTTGTTTTGCTGGAATGGTACTGTATATAGGATAAGGTTTAATGCTTCAATCCCTGCTTTGCAATTTCGCTATCTTTCAAACATGACACTCAACATATACTGTAGCTTGCTGTAAAAAATGTGTAGTTTCCAAGCTCAAATAACCATCATGACATCATCAGGGGATATTCTCTCAGAGTGGACAAAACTCCTGCAGAGCTACGGAAGACATTTTACAACCACTTTCCTAGGCAGCGCAGTTCTCCTCATGACTGGTGAACTGAACATATACAAGTCAAATCTGTGACCCATCGACATGTTCAGCCTTTGATAAATGGCAAGAGGACTGACCATTGTTGTGGGACTTCTAAATTCTTCATCGTAGCGACTTAGCATTTTAAAAATGCATAGCTAGAAAGCCATTACGTATTCACTATGTTTAGATTTCCCCCCATTCATCAGCGACTGATAGTGCTCGTGCATCTGTGTGATGATAGTGCCCTCTCTCCCTGTCCCCAGCCTCACAATGTGGGCTCCAACGGGGGAGAAGTCATCTGTCTTCGTTAGCGTCCGGGGCTAAATATGCTATGCATCTGGTACTGGGCTTTCCATCCCCCCTTGGCCTAAGCTGCCTTGTTTTGTTTGTATAATGATAGGTATACGCTATGAATACATAAACACGACAAACTGTGGATGACTCGCACGTACAAACCCTCTGCATTCTGTAGCCAATGTCTACATATATGAAATTGGCATTTAAACACCCTTAGTATTCACTGTGACCTCCTCAAATTAATGTGCTGCATGCTGACTTATAATGGGCTGCCTGTGTTGTCTGTCTGTGACCGGCCTAAACACCACATTTTAGACTCCGACTCATTTACGGTCCATTTTGGGGGGGAAAAAGAGAAGAAGTTGGCCTTTGAGAAAATTAAGCTGACACTAGCATCAGTGCGAAGATTCCTTCCAAATGGACACTTAACAAGGAGCATCTGAAGATGTGTGGGTTTAAGTGGGTGTTAACAAACCATGGCATTGCCGAATGAGCTGTGGGATGGAGAGCTGAGAGGAGAACTGCTTGACTGGGGCGCCCTCCAGTGGTCTGCGCTTTTCATCATGGGACATTTACTGTAAAGCTCTCACTTTGTACTTACTGTGCTTTTGTCTTTCAATAGTTTCTCTATCACTTCGATCAGCTGCTCCTTCTGGTCTGGATCCAGGCTGAGGGGGGGAGGGGGAGAGAGAGAGAGAGAGAGAGAGAGAGAGAGAGAGAGAGAGAGAGAGAGAGAGAGCGAGAGAGAGAGAGATAGCGAGAGAGAGAGAGAGAGAGAGAGAGAGAGAGAGAGAGATAGAGAGAGAGAGAGAGATATTGTCAACTAAGGAATGGCAATTATTCACATAACATGAAAACTTGATGGACTTACAAATTAAATGACGTCCCCTCTGTGTGCTCTGAATACTTCGGTGTCTGGGTGTCACATCAGCTGACAATGATCTAGACTGTGACTGACCAGTACTATTCAATGATTCCTATGTAACAGACACTGCTGTAACAAGTTGGTCTACCAGTTAGTTGGCATATAAGAAATCTGCACCTATTGTTATAATCTCTGGAACCCATCGGTCGATTTTGATGATTGACACCTCTTTTGAACCGTTAGAGCCAATAGAATCGGGAGGGAGTTCCTAAATCCATCGAAACATTACCATTGGTGAATGAGAGTGATGCGCAGCCAGCATGCCCAAAACCGGAAGCTCTCATACACTCTCTTAGCTCTCATAGCAGCTATATATGAAAACTACTCTTATTGACATAAATATGATGATGGATTATCAGTAATCATTTGAAAGTGACACAGAGACATTGGATTAACCTTCAGCAGCGTTTGCCATTGAACACAACTTTTGATCAGAAAGCAGCAAAGGTAAGACGTATTTGCCGTTTTGGCCCCGTAAAGTGAAGTTGTGTGTTGTCTTTGCTTGACTTCGCTGCCCTGAGGTTTGGTCGCACAGTGATGATACTTATACCATTGGAATCTGTGGAAGCTCAGCTTTCATTATGATATCTAGTTTGTGCAGATCCGATGAAGTATAAAATGTTTCTACCGTGAGTTATGTGCCAAGTGCATTAGCATTCTTTCACTTAGTGCTAATTCAGACGCTTCATGGTTCAAGGTTTTTATTTTGTCATACGAACATAGCTACAGTGTAGTTATGACGATGAGAATCTTAGGTCACAGGCTCCTCCAACAGTGCAACACAATAAAACAGATAAACAGAAATATAGTGCAAGTAAATAGTAAATAGTAAATACAAAAATAGTTTAAAAAACGCTTGGCGTTAGTTGGCGTTAGAGTTGTGTTTTGTTTCGGTAAAAATTGTTCATATCGTCAGTTAGCTGAGTTTCCGCAGGCGGGGGCTATGGGGCTAAAGTTGAGTTTTACTACTTTGCTCAAATGTTAAGTCCTCATTCATTCTTTGATTCATGCCAATCGCAGAAAGACTCAGCTGATAAGAGTAGATAACTGCAAGAAAAACCTCCTTATATCAACATTACCCAACATTTCTGTATTAACTGCTCAGAAAGTAGAGGTAAGGAGAGCCAGTCAAGGTAAGGAGCAGATACTGGCTCCACCTGCAGCTTGAGTTGCAGCCTTAATATTTACAAACACATCAGAAGCACAGAAGTGTACCTGTAGAGTTTCTGGATAGCGTGGGCCGATGTCTTCCTGACGTACGGGGACAGGTCAGCTGCCGCCTCTTTGATGGCCAGCATCATGATGGGGACAATAATGGGGACCCGGATACTGGACAGAACTCTCAGCGCACTGCCCCGGATGAACTGGTTTGGGTCCTGGCAAAGAGATACAGAAAAAGATCTGTCAGTTTGGCCTACAAATAAATGTTGGTAAGCTGGTGGAGATAATGAAGAAACAACACTAATGGCAGATAGAGCATCGCCAATCGTTTGATTACATAACAGACAAATTATCACCAACTATTACAAAATGATATTTATTTAAATCAATTTTTCATCCAAAATTGGCAGAAAATTGCTTAAATGTGGAGATTTGTTTTGTTTTATATGATATTAAACCGATTATTTTGGGTTTTCAGACCGACAAAACAAGACATTTAAAAGGCATCATATTGGACTTTGAGGAACTGAGTTAGACATTTTTAACTAGTTTCTGACATTTTATAGACCTAACCATTAATTGAGGAAATAATCTGGAGATTTATCTAAAAGGAAGATACTCGTTAGTTGCACCTCTAATGTCAAATCTAACAAAACAATATGTTAACATTGCAGCTATTAGGGTACAAAGGCCAGAAAATACGCAGTCAATATACAAGAGAAACACACACTAGATAACATACATTTTTTCTAAATGATAAATAATATCAGTTTTTCCAAGCCTGTATCTATACTCAAATATAGCAGCTTTTCACAGTGTTGGGAATAATAAATATAGAAAGTCGAGGGGTATAAATGTTACCTTGAGGGCCCGCTGGAAGGTGCTGATGGAGAGCAGAGCCAGGTCCTGCTGCTCCTCTGCATACCTCACCAGGTACACATACACAAGCTTCTTAAGCTGCGAAGGACAATTAAATAAAACAGCAATCAATTAACAGCTGTAAAGGGGAATTAATGCAGCACTTGGGTTTTAAAAAAAAACGAGGAAACCAGCTGTGATATAAAACTTTAGAAGGGTTATGTGAAAGGACGTGATGTGTGTTTACAATCTATAACTGCAGCTATCAAAGGAATACAATGAACAATAATGAATGAAAGCATGGGGCTCAGTTTGTTTGTGTTTGAGTTAAGTATTTCAAAGGGTGGAAAGATGGTACAGAAAGTGTTCCTGTCTTGATATCTCCAGCAGCAGATTTGCTTCAGTGTTGTTTCAGGCAGAGAAGGAGGCTATGAATTTGTGTTCCCTTTCAGAAATGGCTATTGAATTATTTGCGCCCCCTTCTTGTGTTTTGGCTTCCATGCCTCTTCTTCTTTCACAGGAAAGCCTGAGATAATATTTGTCCAGTTTTCTGACAAGTTTAACTTCAGGCCAAAGGTTCCTCATCTGCTAATTCAGAGAAAAAGACTAACAGAGCTGATTTCTATACGCCTGTGGGATCATAACTACAGGAACTGGGATAATAGAAATTAGGAAAAATTAGGATTTAATCCAGAATCTATTTATAATTTCATTTAGGAACTGATTTAAGGTTGAGGTCATGGGTAAGGTTACATTTCAGGTACAATCGGCAAGAGTTTAATCGGTAATCAGCACCATGCCTCCTAATGCAGTGAGTATTGACTTGCAGCAGTGCAGCACAGTTCTCAATCATCGTTCTGGTCATTACTGCTGGAATTAATGGCATTACTCACTATAAAAGCAGACGCAACCCATCTGCCCTCCAGGATCTGGTTTTGTTGGCCACAAAGCTCACGGCTGATCTCATTTTGAACCGTTAAGTCTGCGATTAAGGGCTCTAAAACTTGCTCAGCGTCAAAGGACATTTAATTTCTTAAGAATTTGGTTTTTAGGGGGTGTTTATCTTATGACATTTTTGTTTTTTGTTAGTTTATTTGTAAGGGGGTTGTCTGTATGTTCCTTTATGTGGTATGTATGTATATTATACAATTAGTTCTGTGTTTCCGCCTTAAATAATATTAGTTAGATCACACAAAGAAATAACTGGTTTTAAAATGTCTCTGCATGACATGAAAGACTGAAACAAGCATGCCAAAGAAAGCTACAAGCATGTATGAAGTGTGTTTTTTAACTGAAGTGCAGCAATAATTAAAGCAAATTAAGCGCACTAATATTAAATCACGCAACACTGTCGATAAGTTGCATGCTCTTGCGCTGATCTCTAATTAGCAGGGATCAATGGCAGCTCACAGTGACAAGGAGAAGGGATGAGGGCGTTTTAGAGAGACATACTGTAGGTGAGTAAAGTGTGGAAGAAACAGCACTACCTTAGCAGCTGGTGTGTACGAAGGGTGGAGAGAGGAGACGTGACTGTGGGCTCTCTACTGCCAATTACATCCTCCCACCTGCTCCCCCACCTTACCACGAGCTGCTTTGGGCTGCATGCCTTGCACAGCGCCGGGCTCCGAGCAGCACTTCTAGCATGCTGCCCCTCGTGCTACCTGATTATAATGCTGCTGCTAATCAATATTCACAGGCTACGGGCATGGGAACCCCTCTTGAGCTGTTGCTTAGTGTTTGGTCATTCACTGGGAGAGGCTGTGCACAACTCTGCTGTGGTTTAGTGCAGTATTTACAGAGTATCTGTAATCGCTGCTGCTGCTGCTGCTGCCACTGTTTAAGATAAATAGATAACACTAGTTGAGCTACTATAAAGACTTGTAATACCCTCTTTTATTTTAGTTTTGTAATATATTCATTCTCATTAATTAATTCAGCCATTTTTTTATTGAGGTAACCTGTGGGGAACTGCCCAAAAAATGTAAACGCATGCATGCAGTTGATGTATAGTATCTCTTAGTTTTTTATTAGAGCTGCATACATGTATGGTGGAGCATATCATTGATTATTAAATTGCATAAAAGAGACATTTTTATTGAACTTGCATAAAAGAGACTTTATTTGTTTTATTTAAAATGTATTTAAAAGTAAAGTATTTATGTGTCGGTTTTACTCTTAATCTGACCAAGTGTGTCTGTTGAAATATTGAGGTGAGGAAGTTCCCACCAACGTGCTGTGTTACACGAGAATTTTATGAATCATACAAAACAACTTTGGCAAAGAGGAAAACAGTGATGAGGAATTTGCTCTGTGATATATAAGGTCATACCTCGATGTTCTTACTCGCAACGTTCTTCACAACAGCAGGAAACAGCTCCGATGCATTTTTCCCTTTGGAAATTAGCTGAAAAAGAAATCAGACAATACAGAGTTTTATCCACCTTTCTTATCACAGATAGTAAACTGAACACCTGAGAGAAGACACACACACATATTTCAAAAGAATACATGTGAATCCCTAAGACTCACCCCAACAACCCTTTTCATGGCATCCAGTTTGAGCGACTCCTTGTTGCTCTCCAACATCTCTTTAAGGTCTTCATTCCTTAGGAAAGAAAATAGTGTTATTTACACGTTTTATGGTCAAATTAGAAAAAGCCTAGTAAACACTGCTAGACGACTTGACTTATCAGCTTGAAGGGTCAAAGCTTGACCAAAGGTGGTGTGGAAGACACATATACAACATCTGTGTCAGCTTCACAGATTACAGGGTTAACATGTGAGCCGTCACATTTGCTCCTATAGGCCAAACAATTATGTACATTATTTGCCCTTTAGGAGACTAACAGTAAATGAATAATCTAGCAATACACACAGATACAATTTCATCTTTGGTTGCCACACAATAAACCTACCCCCAAATGTTAAAAGCACCTAAAAAAATCAACTTTAGCCAAAGACATTGCATAGTTGTCCACAACGCTAGCTGCTATTAGCTTTGCCAACTAGCTCATCTCATTTCTGCTAAAAGTCTCTGCAATCAGATCTGACGATGCTCATTATAGGCTAATGCTAACACACATTGTTCCTGTGCAACACGGGTTGTTTGTTACACACAGAGGCCAAACACTTAGAGATAATGTCTAGTTACTGTGGCACTGAAAGTCATTCACAAAAATAGTTATTCAGCTAAAACAAGAACAACAAAACCGTACAAGAGTTAACATTAAAATGTAGCTATTGTTTTCATACAAATAGGTGAAAGAAAATAAATAAAGGATAGGTTTGTATTTCTCGGAATAAGATACTTAGAACTCAATAAAACTCTGGATAATAAAGTTAACTAACATGAACTTCAAAGAGAGCGCAGAAAACTGATTTGTTCTGGAAATGTTACTGTATGCCTATTTTCAGTCAAAAATGAATGAATGAAGTCACATCTTTCCTAAAATACTCTGAAACTGAATAGAAGCATACATCCCACCTTCCATTTTCCTTTTTCTCTGAAACGGACATAAAAAAGTCCATTTAGTAAGAATACAACAATGCAACAACATACAACATCCTTTAATTGAAGCTAAAAACACAGATGTCTCTGTCACAGGGCTGTCTGTGATTGTACAGTACCCGGCTTTGTGTGTCTCCTTGATGCTACCCTTGCTGTTTGTGAGTGCCTGCTCTTCCTGACTGGGCTCAGGCTTCAGAGTGAGCTGTAGGTTCTCAGCCGACACCAGCGCCATCCTCATGGCTCCCACTGCCTCCGAGCGCAGAGAAGAGAAACCAACATCCATGCCGGCTTTCCTCCACGGCAGTCACTTGAGTCCACTCAACAACCAGCCCTCGCTGTGTGTGTGTGTGCTGTCTCAAAGAATAGAGTCCACACACACACAACTGACTGTATTTCAAGTAACTGAAGAGTGAAACGGAGCTGTGGTAATTACTTTCCTTCAGGCTGTGTGCCCTGGCTTTATTTACAGTTGTCTTCTTGACTCGTTCTTGTTCATAACTGTCAAAGCTGGGGAGAGTGGAGAGACGGCTCAGGCTCCACTGGCTTTGTGCCTGTCATTCACTTCTCCCTTCCTCTTCTCATAGGCAAAAAAAGTCACAAGATGCCCCGTCAGCTCCGCTAATGGCAAGTCATGCTTGAGGGTAGTGCCTGCTAACTTGGGAAAGATCTCTCTCCTTCTGCTGAAGTCCACGTTTCTTCTAAAGTTACCTGCTGGTCAGCTGGGGTCCACTCTTAAATTTCTCTTTCCTTCTTTTCCATGGATTTTCCTCTCAAACCTCTCACCTGCTCTCTGCCTGTATGTGTCTCTGTTGGACTGTGGTCACTTCCCTCCAGGGGAAAAGGAGGGCCTTATCTACACTGGTGGGTAAACAGAGCTACTTTTCATCACCTCCACTGCACAATAGTCAACTTTAGCCCGACACCGCTGAGTGAGTGCACATACAATACGCTGCCAACAGGACAGGCCTTCATGAAAGATAACAGCACCGAGCTGAATGTCAGGAAATACCCTTTAAGATTTGAAAGGTTCAGAATGTGCTTTACTTTCTCTGGGAGAAACTGACGGACCAACAACCCCAGTCACAAGCTAATAGAATCACTTTTTCACTACTTCTTACTTTTGTAAAAAGATTGTTGCTTCCCGAATAACTGCTCACATTCATTTATGACTTTATCATTGATCTCGACCATGAATTGAATTGGCCAAATAAATAATAAAACAACTAATAACTTGAAGGGAACTTTATCATGCTATATTTAACTAACAATGACTTAAAAAGGGGCAGAGAAAATGTATGTTCTGAACCTTTGCATGTGTTCCTCCATTCATGTAGAAAAAATAAAATGAACTTAATAAATGTTTTTACTATATTAAGCCTAAACTAAAATAGAAACAAGTAACCCCCCCCCCTACCCCTGCCAATTTCCTTTTCAAAGTGACAATCTGTAACAGACAAAACAATCTCAACACAGGGTCCATTTAGTAGCTGTAGCAAATGTGGTTAGTATAGTTTATGACTTCTCACCAATGTTGAATTCAAAGTATCTTTCTTGACACTGGTCACAGTAGTTGACAAAACAAACAAGACTCTTTACGACTTTTGAATAAATCAACACTAGCAGATATAGCATCTGAAAAAAGACACAAGGGCCTCACGGTAGAAGAGCTTTACAATGAAATAAGGCCTTTCTAGATAAAACTCTAAAATAAAAAAACTGTATGCTTTTATTATGTGGAAAAAAAGCATATGTTACACTGAAAAATATCGAAATTGTAGTGTTTCTTGGTAGAAATATGTATTTTTAAGAGGAAAATGAGTGCTAGATGTGCCCTGATCAGGACATTATTAACAGCTAATAACTTTTCTGAAAATAAAGTAAAAGATCCAAAATCTTAACTTTAAATGTAGGTCAAAAACATATAATTTAAACACATTTATACAACCAAACCACTTGCCCGCAGCGAAATCTCTCTTTAGTCAGAGATAATAAATAAGTCACATGTATTTGTGCCGGGCTAAAACCTTTCATAGAGCCTTTAGTCAGTGAGAAGAGGACTATAACACTACAGAACACTGCAGGAATGCTGCTGTGCCCCCCACACGTGACAAACATTCAGGAATTTCAAATAACTTGATTTAACATTAGCAGAACGACTCATGGGGCTAACTTGAATTGACAAATATGTAACATACATGCTGAGTAAGACAAAGCCTGTGTACTACACTGATGTGGACACAGCTTAGGATGCACAGGCTTAGGTCAGACAGACACGCACAGGCTTAGGTCAGACACACAGACAAAAGCATCATTCATGCATTTTCTGCTCTTCCCAGTTTGGCCTACATGCAGGCGAATTTATGACCTAGCCTTGCCTAAGTGAGTAGATCTATGGTCATGTGAGACAGCTTAGGTTCACTTAAGCACACTAAGCAACATGTAACACTGTGGCAAGAGAATGTCATTCAAAAAGACATTAATGATGGGTAAAATCCTGAATGCTGAAGAGAATACGCAAACAACTGTTCTGATGACTTAAGGTTAGTTACAGCATTTCTTGTTGGGATCAACAAATGAAAGCTCATACTGACAGCTAAAAACAAGAAGACTAGGCAGCGTAATTCTACAACTGTCAGGCTGTTGCCGTGTGAAGCTTCTCATTCACCCATAGAGGATTAAATCAGAGGGTCTGCAGGAAAAACGTCTTTACAATCAAATAGAAACCAAGGTTCCATTGATGTTTGGCTGCCCTCTAGTGGTAGGTTTCTGAGATAAAACTCAAAACATGCTGACAATCCATTTTCACTTTTATACAAGAGGAAGGTTACTTATATGTAGAAAGTAACTGTGAGTCTGAGACGTGAAGTTAAAACAGAAACTAGAAAACTTCTTTCCCAAAGTCTTTCTAAAGAATGTAATACTGTCACCTGGAAATAAAACAGACATCCATGGGCACCTGCATAGCTATCAGAAACTGATTTGGTGTATTATGTCCAAAAAGGTCTAACAAATTATAGTAGCAAACAGTCTGAATATGTACATTTAGGTACAGACCATTTAAAAAGTTTCCTGAAAGTATCCCAAACCGTTCAAGTTAATAAAGCACAAAGCGTGACTTGGCAAAGCTATAAAACAGGTGGTTTACAGAATAACAACTCAAACAGGCAACACTATTCAAGTTCAACTGCAATGCCTTTTTTCTCCTCTAAACAGAAAGCAAACTAAGTGTTTTAGTATCCTTTCCATATGTTATCTACATGTTGGCACATTCTATGCTTATACAGTGCAGAATGGTTTTAGTAATAGGATGTTTTAAAATATTGATGGGTACACATTCAATTTGATTGTCAATATGTGTGTCCATTTATTAACACTGTACACTAGTGTAAATCATTCAGTGAAGCCTTAATTATACTTTGAAGAAAATCTGTACACATTTGATGAAACACTGTGTAATGATGAAAGACTGGTTAAACTGGTTAAACATGTGTTTGCTGAAGCTTATCATGAAGACTAGTCGTTGTTTAAATGAGGTTATACCTTTTACAATATAATTGTTTTCCAAGTCCACTCATTACTGCAAATTGTATATATGGATACTATTTTATTTTTGTGTGTGTGTATACCAGGGCTTACTCCACACATTCATTTACATGTCATACTTTGAGAACATATTGCTGATAATACATACATTCAGCTCTTGCACTTCAATGAAATGTATGGGTTTTAAAGATGTTTTTACCAGTTTTACAAGATAACCCGAGTTGTTTACTTGGTGGTATTTCACAGTGTGGTATTAGTAATTCTACTTAAGTCAATAACCAAAAACTTTCCTCCACAAGTGGTCAAAGTAAGCAAAGCAGTAGGGACGGGAAAAAAACAAAAGCCATATAAAAATGATGTATTTGTCACATGTAACAGTGCCATGGCATAAAGCTAACAGTCGGTCGCCATCACTGCCTAGCTTGTTGATGATGCTGGGGGCTACTTTTCAAGTCAGCTACACAGGGAGTTAGCATCACAAAGTTCACTACAACCGTCTAACTTTACCACAAAATAACACTTTTGACAGCACAAGGAACACATGATAAGCTATCTTACTTTTTAAAGTCAGAGCTGAAGAGTCCAAAGGCAGCTCCGCCGGTACTGGAGGAGTTCTCCTGCCCCGCTTCCACCGCAGCCTCCGCTCCTCCTTGGTCATTGTACAAGGCGATCGTCGACATGCTCAGCGTTGAAACAAGACTTGCCTCGATAACTAAATGCGAATTCGGCTTTTAAAACTGCACATTAACGTACGAAAGTGTAAGTGTTACGTAGCACAAAAAGTTCCTGCAGAGGCAAACTTCTCCGAGATTTCCTTCAACTTTTTTTTACACGCAGTAGCGGAAGTGTGAGCTGGACAAGTTGGTGTCACATGACAGGGCTTCAGCTGCAGAGACCACATAGATCTAGAATATCTAGAAGCAACAGTTAACTGTTACCGGTTTAATTCCCAGAGCGGCTGTCACTGCTATCTCATTTAGAATGTATAGATCTATGTGAAATAACGCCCCCGTTGACAAGGCAACAACGGCACCATAGTTCTTATCAGATATGAATATTTTGTGTACTTGTCTTACTTAACGTAAAGTAACCTGCTGCCCATGCCTCTTTTTTAGAAAAGTAAAGTAAAAGTAGAAACACTTAAGTGTAAAAAATAAAGTTACTAGGTAAATGTACTTACTTCCTGTACATTGGTAGAATTGTAAGTCACTTAAGTATTTCACATTTTGAATACTTCTTCTTTGCCTCCAAAGGGCACATTTTGTAATTGTATTGTCAAGAGGAGTCAAGTAAGTTGAGCTCTACTCCCTGATTATAAAGCATGAGGCCACAAGTGCAGAAAAGGATTGATTATGTGTGTATAAGAAATCAGATTACAAAGGATTAAGCATTGGTCGTTTGAAATTAGTATGATTGGTTTCATTATGAAAGGATTAATAAATGTGATTATGTGTTTACTGATTTGAAATAGTTGTGGAAAAGTATGAGATGGGATGTTCAGTATTGTACAGATATTCATAACCTCGTTGACCTTCTATTATAATATATACTCATACTCTGAAATGGGCACACTGATTACTTTTACTTTTTGTGGGCAATTTGAATTGTTTTTTATTCAAATATTGTTGTAGTTCAGTCACTTCACTTAATGTAGTGCGTTAACTTGTAACATCATACTTCTTCCCAGTGGTATTGTTTGGTTACTTCGAACTTATCAAGAAACGAATTCACACTATATATATATACAAATATTATGCCTATTTTCCTTTTATAGACCTTAATTGGACAAAGGCTTGAACAAACAACATGGCTTTCAGAGTCTTCAAAGAAAAAAATGGGCAAGTGCATACAGAAGTCAAGAATAAACATTACAAAAATGGAGGGCTAGGGCTTTTTACATAAATCATATTTTTCTAATTGCGGTCAACAGTTTAATTGCATTTTAATTTGAGGGGTTTAAAACAATTAAGAAACTCATACACACAAATAAAACATGTGACCTGAGGCTTCTTCACTTCCGTATACGTCAGTATTGTATCACATGTGATCCGCTGCTGGTGACCAATCCCATCCAGCCTGATAGTATCTCTGTCGAGAGTCAACACTTCACCTCCGACCGTCTGTCATCTCTTGCGTCTACCTCAAAACGAGTCGGTATTTTGGAAGCAGTTTGCTCGGATTTATACACTGTATATATAATTATTAAGTCTTAAAACGACTGAAACCATCTTGGTTGGATAATGTCAGGAGGATTCGACAGCAACCCGTTCGCGGACCCGGAGATCAGCAACCCATTCCAGGTAACGTTAGCTAGCTACGTTAGCGCCATTAGCATTAGCTTGTGCACTATTTCACATTAATAACAACGTTACACAGCCTGGCAAATCAGACACGGGTTGTTCAGTACTATGCAGCTGTGATAAAGCTACTTGTGTTTAAAATAAGTTATAGCAGTGATTAGCAAAAACGTTTTTAATTCACTTGTCAAGCTTAAATTACTGTCTGTCACTTAGTATGGCTCACTTCGGTGTGACATAACACGTTAATGAACCAGGCAATGTTGTGTTAGCTAGCTTGATGTCTAGCCTTATTTGTGACTTGGAGGGTGTATGGTGTATTATTATTTGTGATATATACAACTATCCACCGTCTTTACACCTTCCCTTCCATAGCACTTTACATTTAAAAGCACATATCTGTTAAACACTTATATGCTGTTCAAATGTTCCTGTAACCATGCATATTTGATTTGATGGGCATCTAGGTTGATTTTCCATCGCTTTAGATACCCTTAATGGATTTTCTGTACCAAACGACATGTGCTAATAATAACTCAACGCGAGGGGAAGGATTTGATGGGATGCTTTTGCATAGAAACCATTTAAAAGGCTACTATAACAGGGTTTTGGTGATTTGTCAGTCAATTATAGAGACATAAATTAGGTCAGTAACTATATTGTTTCACTGCAAGGTTTCCATTATGCTGTCAACTTTATTTAGACATCCAACGAATGGACAGCCTTGTGTGAACAGTGTCTTGTAATGTGAAAGCATGCATTTCATCATGTGCTCTTTAGCCCTTCAGTGCCTCCCTCCATCAGCAGGCATGTAAAGGTGTTCTCATCATTGGCATTGGCAGTACAGTTACTATTTGGCATTTCATTAGAGATGAAAAGGTTATGTGATTAATTGATAAACCAAGCAAATATTCTGATAAATGACACATTTTTAGCAGAAATACCAATACTCCCCTGCTTCCAGCTACTTAAGCGTACATATTTGTTGTTTCTTATTCTTTCGTGTCTTTCTTTCATTTTTTTAATGGATTAACAAGCATCAATTAAAATGTAACATGTCCAAGATAATAGAGCAGGGTTTAAGCACTGTTGGTCGGACAAGACGGGGCATCAAATGACTGCTCCCTGTGTTTTAGTATAATGTGATTGGTATTTTCCACTAATGCACAGGTTAATTTGAAGACTAAGAGTAAAAAAAAACTACAATTATTTGCAGATCTATTGTTTTTGATTAACATGTCAACAAAAATAAAACCAGAACAAATTTGAATGAAGAAATATAAATTGGCTAAAACATTATGGAATTCCTACACATACTATGAGTACATGGCTACAGTAAATAATTCTTCTCATTCTAAAAAGTCATTTCCAAATCTTGCTCTTTCAGTGTATGAAAGTAAACGATGCTGATGGCACAGTTTGACCGCACAGACGCATGAAAGGTGAATTATTCATGGTGCCTCATTAACATACTGACATGACTAGTGAACCCCTGCTGCTCTGCCAATTTCCTGTCATTTATTGGCTGTCTTTTTTTGTGCCTGAGGAAAAATGAAGCTTTGTTCCCTGCTCTTGAGCTATCTTCAATACTTCATGAAATCATATGGTGCTGTCATGGCGACATGTGGTGCTAGGATCCCTGCTGGCAGCTACATTTCATCACTCCCAGTTATGCATAGATTGTTCATTCGGATTTGGCCTATTTATCTGAATGTAGGCTTATTAAAAACATTAAGCTCTAATGTCATAGAAGGAAGCTTAGATTTCACACTGTGCCAGGCTAAACAGCTTAATAAAATGTTGTACAGAGCATGGACTCCAACTGGTTTTCATCCTGTTGACCCAGCAGTGTGTTACGTACAGAATACTATACAGCAGGCATCGTGTTCGATAATGTGTCATCAGCTAGTGGGACTTTTGCAGCGAATGCATCACAAAATCTGTTTTATTTCCAACTACATTAGGATCATGAAAGGTGCATTATTAGGTGTCAGGAAATACATCCTTCTTAAATTATACAGTAAGATCTGCGTCAGGTGAATTATCTTATTTTCCCCCTTTCCCAACTTTAGATTTCAAAATGAACACTCTGTGAATATGCATGTGTTTCCTTGGCTGTGCAATAGGGCGACATTAAACTTTAAACGCAAAATACCCTCAAATATTTATGACCCCGGTCTGGTGACAAGTTGCTGTGTGTGTGTGTGTGTGTGTGTGTGTGTGTGTGTGTGTGTGTGTGTGTGTGTGTGTGTGTGTGTGTGTGTGTGTGTGTGTGTGTGTGTGTGTGTGTGTGTGTGTGTGTGTGTGTGTGTGTGTGTGTGTGTGTGTGTGTGTGTGTGTGTGTGTGTGTGTGTGTGTGTGTGTGTGTGTGTGTGTGTGTGTGTGTGTGTGTGTGTGTGTGTGTGTGTGTGTGTGTGTGTGTGTGTGTGTGTGTGTGTGTGTGTGTGTGTGTGTGTGTGTGTGTGTGTGTGTGTGTGTGTGTGTGTGTGTGAGAAAGATGCTCCCAGAAACATAAGAGTCAGGGAGAAAGGGAGAGCACCGCGCTGACACTGCATAGGGAAGTACTGCAGGAATACGCAGATTGGATGGTAATCTTCAGCAGCTATTTGAATGAAAGCAGAGTGTGACTGACAGCAGCTGATGGTAAGCTTATAATAAGAAAAGAGTGATAAACTGATGCCTGCAGGAACAGGCTTTTACATGCAAACGGAGGCAGAATATACTAAATTATGTACATGTATTTAAAGTTTGTGGTTACTGGCAATTGGTAGTTGAATACACCCTCTAAGCAAACATTGTTGCACTCCAGTGTCATCCTTTAAAAGGCTTCTGCTTAATGTTTAAGCTTCATCCTCCATTTCACTTTGTGTTTGCATAGTACATAGTAAAACTGTTATTCACCAAATGTTGTGAACAAGGTTGTTTGAATTTGCTTGTCTTGCAAATCCAGAATGAAAGGATCGGGAAGTGTTTTTGTGCCGAGCGCAGCATAGTAAAAAAAATAGTCTTTTTTAATTGATGTCTTTTGGAGCTGGAACACCCAGGACTATTTATAGAAGTCTTCTCGGGAAAATTATTGGAATCATCCTGCCAGTATTGAATTATAGGCCCGTTGCATTTTGAATAAAGAGGGTTGTTTGGCCTTCATGTGACAGAATAATGGAGGGGATTTATACTCACATGAGCTCAGACATTTCCACTCCTGTCCTTAATAAAACACAAGGATGGACTTGAAAAAATGACTATTTTCATACCAAAACTATTCATAACATTCGAGTCATTTACCCCCTACTTTTTATGTTCTCTTCTACGATTTATGTTTATATATTTTGTATTTTTAAAGGATCCATCAGTGACACAAGTACGACAGGCTGCTCCTCCGGGGCTAGAGGAGTACAATCCCTTCACAGATGGCAAACCAGTGAGTACCTTATCAAATAATCCAGTGGCCGCTGGATTCATTCAAAGCTATTCGATGAGGATAATACATCAAATACATTTGAAAAACATTTGGATTGAAAGGGTTGATATCATTCTAAAAAAGATCCAGGATAATATAATGGTCGCTGTTGCCAAACAATTGTGTTAAATGGGAAATAACACAAGTATAACTTCCAGCAGTGGACAATTATCAAAGAGTAAGAATCACACACAATTGTCAGTGAGCTTTATAACTGTATTTTATTACAGTAAATGAAATGTAGACGTTTTTTCTGACTTTCCCTGAAATTCTGCCTTTTTTTGCTTGTAAAATATTGGATATTTTTCACCCTTCAGTCCTCTAAAAGTTATTTAAATTAATTGATCCAAGAGGTTTTATGAGAGAAAAGCAGTCTTTGGTTGACATGCTCACAATTGATAAACCTTAGTGGTTTTAATTATAATTTAACTGTGAGCCTGATGGTTACATACTGCGGAGGCTACTCTCTTTTGTTTTGTGCCATATCATTCTCATTTCAATTGTTGTTACATCCACTTTTAAATTAATCTACTTTTCCTCCGCAGACACCTGGGGGTATGGCGCCCAAGACTCCAGCCCCCACCCTCAACACGCAACCCGCCATCATGAAGCCCACAGAGGAGCCTCCAGCCTACTCACAGTCACAGGTGACACTGACCACACCTGGTGTAGAAAAGCATGTGTATCCTAAACATGACATGTGATGCAGTTTTCCTTATCATTTTCACAATAGGCGGCCATCTAGCTACAGTAGTGAACACATTCATTCAGAATGATAATGATGGAGGATTGGGATGAATGGATGAACAGATGCAGGGCAGATGTTGGTACAATAAACAACAAATAATTGTAAAATAATATATTCCAATGCAGACCATAGCTAAAATGAATCGACAAGTACCTGAGTTTGTTAGGTTTTAATACATCCACTTCTTAAAGGCATCTTTTAAGTTTCTTCATTAAAATCCTAATAATTGGAAACCTAAATGCATACCAGATAAACAACATATACAACCACTTTCTCCTCTAAATGTAACAGTTTTCCTTATTTAATGGCTTAAAATGTAACTCACAGGTACTTTAGGTATATCACACGCTCCTAAACATGGATGCATAGAATGTAAAATAACACAGAACATATAAATAATCTAAAACGAATTAGCTTTGAATCATTACAAAAATACTCACTGGTGTGGCATGTTGTCAGGCAAAGGTTTTGGAGAAACAAATGCACAGGAGTGGGGATGGGTATCGTTAAGGTTTTAACGGTACTACTACTTTGATCGATACCGCTTATCGATCCGGTCTTTTAACGGTACTCTTATCGGTTCTTTTGGAGAAAAAAATAAGGTAAACTAACTAAACAAATTGTGAACAAAATGAACATTGCTTTTTATTTAAATTAAATAAATAATATTTCACATCAAAAGAAACAACAGTGTTTTAACAAATCGTATTAAATAATCTGATGACCTAATTGTAAACAGAATAGCTGAAACTTTAACAAAATAAATAACTCAGTTACCTCTAATCATCAACCCATGTTTGAATAATGAGTTAGCTCTGTGTGTTGCTGCTAGCATACATAATACCTGACGTTACTCGTGGATGTGGCTACAGAGCTACTAGGAAGACAGTCGAACCCGGTGCATTTCTCCGTCTGAATGTGGTGCACTTTTGCTAAATGTTTAGACAAATGTATCGTGTTACCGCCCTTACATGCTAAACTCTTATTGCACTTTTGGTAACGAGCATTGTCCACATCGAGACGGGTAAAGTTTAACCACACGCCTTGGAGCGAGTTCTCTCCACCATCTCCGCCGTGTGTGTGTGTGTGATGCTGCATGTAGCAGCTGCGTGTGTAAACTGCCCCGCCCCCTCGCACACAGACGGGGGAGAGAGATCTCTCATCTGGATTGGAAAGATCGAAAATACAAAAAATAATCATAGACGCATTTTGCAGTCTTTTTGCATATTAGAAACGGAGTTGGCGACACTAAAACTGCAATATAATGTTTGTGTAGCAATAATACATGACATATATTTTAGATGTCTCCAGTGCCGATAAAAACACCGATAACGTCGGAGCTTAACGGTACCATGGTCTTTAATAATTCAGTAGAGTTTAATAACTCGGTACCCATCGCTACACAGGAGTGGCAGCATGGCCTCAGTCAAAGGGTTCAAACCGATCACACCCAGCCCTTAAATAACCTCCCATCTCTAAACTCCTCCCCTTTGCATCGACAGGTGAGTCTCCACCCAATCGTGGTTTCACAGAGGTGATTTATGACACCCTGATCTCAAACTGTAATTTCTTCAACTTTATGTTACTTGTTCCCTCGAGAAATTGTAGATTTTACAGACACATCTTTATATTCTCCATATCAGCATGCAGAATATAATAGGTGTATTAGGTTAGTCCTGTATCACCAGCAGAGACTTGTATTGATGGCAGAAAATACATAACATGACAGCAGGCTTCATGCTGCGCTTGCACACAGAAAAGCATCTCCACAGGAGGCTGTTTCTGTGTGTGACTGAGCTTTGTATCTGCTATAGGAACCACAGAGTCGGAGAGAAAGCAGGCAGGCGGAGGAAATAACTTTTGATGGTGCATCTCATTTGTCGGCAGCCTCCTGGGAAACAAGTTGTTGTGATGTCTTTTCCTCCTGCTGGTGCTTCCCCTGTAGAGAATTGGATTCATTCCAAAAGTAGAAACAGAGCTGAAGAAACATATTTCTGTACTTGTATCAGTGTGTTGACATCTGTTTTATGTGTGTGTGTTTGTGTAGGAACAGTCGGGAGCAGCTGCTGAGCTGTTGAGGAGGCAGGAGGAGCTGGAGAGGAAGGCTGCGGAGCTGGACCGCAGGGAGAGAGAGATGCAGTCGCTCAGCGCTTCAGGAGGTCAGCAGCAGAGACATGTTCCTCAATCTAAACAGGCTCAAAATGAACTTTCCCTACTACAGGTCCAGGTGCAGCTGTTCCTGCATTTGAGACCAGAGTGTGATCTGTTTTATTCTGCTAAACATTTACTGAATACATACACTTGACGCACATGACATAGATGAGAAGATCAGTACCACTCTCATGTTTGTAAGGTAAATATGAAGATGGACAAAATATAAGATTAGCATAAAGACTGTGTACAGGGAGACAACATGGGTCAATAAAAAGGTAAAAAAAGAAGCACGTCTAAATGTTACAAATTATTTTGTAACCTACCTGCAGTGACTTAAGTCTTTTTTCACCATGGGACTGCAAGGCAACCAGCAGAGACTCCATGCCGATACTGCACCTGTCAAATAAATGGCATTAATAGTAGTGATAAAAAAGAAAATACCCGCAAAAAAAAAACGTAGTAATAATAAGTACTAATAGTAATAGTGACATAAGTCGAATTCAGAGGTCTACCTTGGGACTAGCTGGTTATACACACTTAAGTCAACTTGTACTCTAGCTGCGTCTCACTTCTCTTATTTTTCATTTCCTCGCTCCTCGGTCTCGGTATCACTGGAAGTTGATTTGTCTGCGCCATCTTGAGTAGCGTCCCAATGGCCTTATTTGTGCCGGAGGATCGAGGAGCGATAACGGAGGAGCGATAACCGAGGAATCACCAGACCATCCTCCGGTGAAATCCTCAGACACTCGCCCCGCCCCCTTACTGTGTATCGCTCACTGATTGGACGATGCAGCGCATGCAATGATCTGATGCTTCTTGACATGAGAGCAGTTTCCCAGCGGAGTGAAGAAAACACATGAAACTCACGAGAGTCACTCCTCAGTTTATACTGTGTTCTGTTTCAATGAATGCATCATTTAGTTACAAATATGTGATATATCTGAACAACAAAGTGGACAAAAATCATTTCATTCATTTATTGGAAACATTTTCGTGATCGCTTTTTTCGTTTTACATTTTCATTTATTGTCATTTCCATTCAGTCAGTCATTAAGTGCTATTTAACATGTTAATTTGCTACATATCCACACAAACAAACAAAGTGTGCAATCCAATGAATGTTAATCTAACTGGGTTTTGATAGATAACATATCTCTTTTTCTTCTCTGAATTATTTTATTTCTATTGTGCACTCTAATCAATATTAATCTAACTATTGTTTGAACATGAACCTACATTTCTTTTTGTCTTTTCTTGTCCTGCAGGCAGGAAAAACAACTGGCCCCCCCTCCCAGAGAAGTTCCCTGTGGGCCCCTGTTTCTACCAAGACATTACAGTGGACATCCCTGTGGAGTTCCAGAAGACCGTCAAGATCATGTACTACCTCTGGATGTGTGAGTAGCTTTCTTTCAATACTTTATTTAATCAAATGTTGTTCAGTAATACTTAGAATGTCTGTGCTGCTGCATTGTAATGAAAATGAAGAAATAGAATCAACCCGTAAAAGATGTACCCAAAATAATCTGCTTACAGTCAGCAAGCACTGAAACAATTAGTTAAACCTTCCCCTAGGATCTGTTGCTTTTCTCTGTCTTATGTGATAATAAGGTAAATATATGTGGCTGTTGGTACTTTGGATAAGATAATCTAATTGAAACATACATGTGTGGTACATTTGATCGACCATAGATCATTTGTGGTGAATGAACAGCCTTTTATCATCATATAAATCCCCATCTTTGTAACCTTAATTCATCCATTTCTTAAAAATAGACATGAGAAACTAGATCACTGTTAAGCAGGGAATCCTGATGTCCTCTACACTCACCATTTGTAGGTGAGCTTGTTTGGCCTGAAACGAAATTAATGCAACAATTATTTTTGATTTCATACCGGGCATTTTTGTAAAACTGAGTGCTAGAGAGATTCTTATGTAGACGGTTCTATCACAACATTGGGGAACCAACTTTTTTAGAGAAATCTGTAAAATTCCTACATGTGTCCTTCCTAGTTTGAAGTTCTTTTAGATTGCTACTTGTAGGAAAGTAGTATTACTAGTATATGAATGTAAAGTAATACTATATGTATTTTACAACCAAAGCAGAATGAAAGCATTTTACTGAGCCTGGCTGTAACTTAGCTTGTTTTTAATTTTGTCAAGGTTTCTGGGGAACAGATGGCAATATCTGTGTTATGGAAGATTGTTCTAGGTGTACACACTCACTGTTCACACATGCTGTATCCACCCACACTTTGTTGGCTTTTGTTGCCGAAATGAAACACTTCCAACTCTCTCCAGTGAAATAAAAAATATGTAGTCTTCATAGCTACTACGATACTATAGTGTTACAGTCCGTCTACAAACGTTTAGATCTGCAAATAAAGCTGGTCTGAACTCTGAAGAAACTTTAACAAAGGCTATTTATTATCTTTTGAATAAAACAAAAAATTGGTGACAAATTGTATTTTCAATATTATTTCATCAACAAGATAATGCATTAGTTTAAACAGTGAGCCTAGGCCAATCCCCTGAATAAGAAGAATTGCATTTGATCCCCCTTTAACCTTCACAAACGGCATCCTACTGGTGTTCAAAAATTACAATTCCCTGGGATTCTGGGAATGAATGGCCTGGAGTGGCACTCGGCACATGACGAGGGCACGTGGTGCAGTCATGTGGTCTGAGGAAGTATTGGTCAGATGATTGCTTAAAGGTTAGTAGATACAGACTTCAGAGAGCAGTATAAACCATGTCTCTATCCCCCGTCCTTCAGTTTGAGTTCATACGCAGATTATTTGGAGATAAGCAAAGAATTTCATACTTTTAGCTTGAAAAGGATCTTGAGCACACATCAGCCCCACCCCCCACTCTCTCCTGTTGTATCAACAAGCAGGCTCCTGTCATATTTCACACTGTGATGTAAAATCAACTCATTCCTACACTCTGTTACTGTACAATGACAATGAAGGCAGTGTGTATTCTATTGGAAGCTCTGAGGCAAATGAGAAAAAAAAGATTCTGGAGATCCCATTTCCTAGTCTGATCAAAACCAATTTTCTAAATAGAATACAATTATTATACATGTGTTTTTCCAGCTGAGTTAACATTTCTCAATGCACTTTAGACGAAAGGTACATATTGTGTTTTAGTATGTTATGTAACCATTCTTAAACCATGGATGTACTTTTTTTTTATCGGCACTTATCTGCTGTTAGGTAAAACAAGGTCTTATATAGCCATAACATCTCAGCAGCACTGTGTCACCGCGAAGGAAAGGTATGGCTCCACACATTATCATTCAAGCATAGGGGAAAACACACTTGCTTGTTTGTATTTCTACAAACCAATCACAAGTGTCTTAGGTGATGCTAGGCCCAGGATGAAGCGTAGGAGCACAGATAGCATGAAGAGAGGGGAATGCTGTGTGCAAATACGAGTACAATGGCAGGCTTATTCCAACAGTTTTATTTGGTGAGTCATTATTTGACGGCTATGTAAAACATGGGGCTGTGGTGCACGCCAGCCTCTTGTGGCAACATTAAGTATTACAGCAGTAAACAGCCAAATTATCCAGATAATCCAAAACATTTGTTTTTCAAAAAAGTCATGACCACAAGAAAGCAAACAACTCAGATCATACAAAAATAAATGGACAACATGATTTTAATTCTAACTTTCCTCTCGGGGCTTCCGTAGTTCTCCATCCTGCACAGTCCCACATGTTGAAATATTCAGTGTCAGTGTGCAGCAGTGTGAGGACACTGGACACTATCTGTACAGTAGCCAGACACCAGCCTGCTTTCTGAGCTCTGACATATACAGTGACACATTGAGGCTGCCACACTGTCCCACTCCCCCTGAATGCCCCATCCATACCCTGACTGCATCCTCTCTCTCTCATACTTCAGTTCACACTGGGACGCTGCTGGCTAACCTGGTGGGCTGCCTGGCCTGGTTCTGTGTGGACGCATCACGCGGAGTGGACTTCGGCCTGTCCATCCTCTGGTTCCTGCTCTTCACTCCGTGTTCCTTTGTCTGCTGGTACAGACCCCTTTATGGAGCATTCAGGTAAACAACACAGATGTATTAACCTTGGAATGACGTGTTTAGGTAAGCCAGCACAGAAGATTTGACCTCTACAAAAGGGAAGAAGGAACTTCCAATTGGATTTTGGATTGTTCCTGGAAAAAAGATATGTGGCAAACCGAAGTTAGTGATACATATAGAAACTGACAAGGTAATATTCACAAAGGAAAAACACTTTTATGATTTTGAAGATGGAATCAAATCACCAGAAGTCAAATGCTAATGCTATACTACAAACGGACTGCACCACGAACAAATGGCTTAAGTTGTGTTTGGCATGATGACGTTTAGTAATCCCACTTATTAGCAATAGCCTTTTCAGTGAACGCTTTATAATGCAGAAATTGGGTATTAACTGACTTATTTAATGCCGTAGAAGAAAACGTTAAAATCTCTTACGTATGTGATAACCACAGACGTTATTTCTAGCATCTAACCAGATGTTCTCTCTTTCTGCAGGAGTGACAGCTCATTCAAGTTTTTTGCTTTCTTCTTCGTGTACATCTGTCAGTTTGGCGTCTACGTTCTCCAGTGTATTGGCATCGCTGGTTGGGGCGCCAGGTGAGACAAATCATTAATGAATGTGAATAATTCTACTTTTGTTTTCTTAACTTTGAAGTTCATTTAACATCTACTTTCTTTAAGGATGAAATGTCCAGATCAATCCTTTATTTTCTTTCTTTTTCTTATTGTTTAATGATTGTTTGCTTGCTGATCTGGCAGAAAAGGGGATAAGAAATCACAGTTAGATTACACATAAGTTATATTTATCTCGAATCCAGCAATGGCAGTTATTTTTAAACATGATAAGAATGCAGAAATAACCAAATGCAATTGAAACAGTATAGCAAATACGGATGTAAACTATTAACGCACACAATCCCGACCCCCAGGAGGCATGTACAGGAAGGTTGGAGTTGGAGGGGGATTTATTTAAAGACACCATTTGGGCTGTTAGAAATCTTTTTTTGTCTTTCATGTACTGCAAGGGAAATCTAAAAAAAGAATTGAATGACATTTTGACGCACTAAATACGGAAAATATATGTAAATAGGACAACATTCATTAGCTCCATCTCCAACTTTCTTATTTTCTATCCTGAAGACAAATCTCAAATATATATTATTTATTTAAAATCCCTAGGAATACCCCAAAAACAGCTGGACACACAAGCTTTCCGTACAGATTGTAGCTAATTGTGCTAATAAGCGCATTTTTTGGGGATTATTTTCAGCTGTGGATTATTACACATTTAATGCTCTGTTTAGTATTTACAACAGCAGGATGGTGTAGGGTGGTGTCAAAAAAACAACAGTGCCACATTGTTGACTGACGAAAAATATACAATATCACTCATTTCCTGGTTCTCAGTGGGTGGATCTCAGCGCTGACCGGCCTGAATCGCAGCATCCCAGTGGGCATCATCATGATCCTCATCGCTGCTCTCTTTACCTCGCTGGCTGTCATGTCCCTCATCATGTTCAAAAAGGTAAGCTCACAGGAACAAAGTGAAGTTTAAGCTGCCATTAAAGTCTGCTCATCAGAGGTGGGAAGTAGTATAGTACAAATACTTCGTTACTGTACTTAAAGGGGACCTATCATGCAAAATGCACTTTTGTACGTCTTTTATACATGAATATGTGTCCCCGGTGTTCCAGGGAACTCACTAAGTGTCAGAAAACACAACCCTCTCTATTTTCCTCCATACCCAAATCTCTAAAAAAGGGGCTGCAACGGATCTGATACAGACCCGTGCATGGTTGCCCTTCTGTTTATTCTCCGCTGTGGCTTTTTTTCTCCCTCCCCGAGGCAAGCGTTTGCTCCCGCTGCTTTAATTCAATGCAATCCCTCCCCGTCGAGGCAAGCACTGTAATTCTCTCCGGTTAGTCCACCAGCAGATGACAAACACCCACCTCTCCGCCTCTTCCAAGGAACGAGGGGACCGTGCGGCAGAGTTTCAGTTAGATTTTTTTTCGCCGGTCAAGATGTCCGTTAAAGTTTAAATCTTCCGGACAAAATTAGAAAAGTGCCGGTCAAAGGTCTTCTTTGTTATTTATTGAGCTTTAAAACAAATGAATAACGACTCTATATAATAATATAAGAATAAAACACGGAGGACGGAGATCTCTTTTTCTCCCCCTCTTCTGACTTGATCAGAGCACACTCCCCTCTCCTGCAGGGGGGCGTGGTCCGCTGCAGCTCACAGAATCAGCCCCCTGCAAAAACAGGGCTGGGAAGAGCAAATGGAGCGAAATGAGGCATGGCTAAAATGCATGATCTGTTTGGTATTTTGAAAAAAAAACGATATTTCTATACTTTATATAGGTATGGCCCTACAATATATTGTTCAAATATAGCATGATAGGTCCACTTTAAGTAACATTTTCTGGTATCAGTACGACTTTTGACTTTTACTGCTTACATTTTTAACACAAATACCTGTACTTTCTACTTCTTACATTTTCAAAACAGGTTTGTTACTTTAGTTTTAATCTGTGTTTGGTGGCGTGATCATTATTATTTACAGTCATTGCGTGCCTATTGATTTGAACACGATCCGTGTCATGTTGCCGTTGTTCAGCATCGAAACATTCATTAGCTAACAATGACATTATTGTTCTATTAATATAAAGGGAGGTCAGTTACTCTTATGGGTACTTTTTACTTAAGTACATTTCGAAGCCCATACTTCTTTACTTTTACTTGAGTAAAGAAGTTTAGTCAGTACTTCTACCAGAGTATTTTTAAAAACGAGTATCTGTACTTCTACTTGTACTTTTGCCATCTCTGCTGCTCAGTTGTAACGCATCTCTTGTTGCCCTCCTCTTCCTCATCAGGTCCACGGGATGTACCGTACCACCGGGGCCAGCTTTGAGAAGGCCCAGCAGGAGTTTGCCACCGGCGTCATGTCCAACAAGACGGTCCAGACGGCCGCTGCTAACGCCACCACCAGGGCAGCACAAGGAGCCTTCAAGGAGCAGATCTGATTGGCCTAGAGAGCTTGCTCAACCCTCCGTCCCTCCCTTTCCCTCCCCCTCTGCTCACACCCAGCTTCCACTTGAGCCAACTGTCCTTGTTTGAACACATGGAGAGTCCCCCAGCCTTCTGACAATATCAAAGTGTTTCATGTGACGGCGCTACGGTAGCCTTCCATGACCTGTAATCTCAGTGATAAAACACCCACTGCAGGCAGGATCCAAACAGCTCCATCACAGACTCTGCACTCCTACCACTCCACCATTTTTCTCTGTGTGAGTTTGTGTGTGTGGCCAACTGAATTAATGTTTGTGTGCCTCTTTAAATGTCCGTCTGTCCTCCGTAGACAGATTCTAATGTAGCTGAACCAAGTCTTTCTAACGTCCCCTCTCACTGCAGGTGCTCCCCAGCATTATTGGCTTACCATGCATCCGAGCCTTACCTTGATTTATAAGCCTAATCTCTCCTTCCTGTTTTTAAATTAATGTATTGATAGTACACATCTCTAGCAGCAGCATGCTCTGATTGGATCAGCTGTGAGTTAATAACTAATCACTGCTGCCCCCCGGTGGACTGACCATGAACTGTTGAAGATGAATGCCGTGCATTCCAGTTCACTGCCTTGCCTTCTACTTTCTGCTTGCCTCAGAATTTGTTTTTTCTTTACAGTGAAGGGTCACCCAAATTTCAATATTTCAGTATCAAACATGCTACTTTGTTGACAGACTCAAGGGCTAATGTGATTTTTATTTATCAAATAATATATCAAGTAAAAAGTCTTCACATTCTTCGTTTTCTCAAGCCGGAAAAACACTTTGCTCCTGATTGGAATATCTTAACGATCATTGGATTTATTGAAATGTTGTGCAGACCTTCATGCTCCTCAGAGGATAAATCCTACCTACTTGGATGATCCCCTGACTTTAACTCTCGTCCCATCATGAGGTTTGCATTTATGGTTATTGAAATATATTCGCAATTATCAGATGGATGGCCATGACCTTTAGCACATACAGTACATGCATGTCCCATTCCTGATGAAAGTAATCAGTTTAATCATTTTAAAGGTCTACATTTCAATTTGTGAAATTAGATGTTTGATCAAATTCCTGCAAAACTAATGACATTCTAAATTTTTAATGGAAATAAAAAAAATATTAGCATGCTAACAAGCTAAGCTTACATGGTAAACATTATACCAGCTTAGCAATAGCCTGCTAGCATTGTCATTACGAGCATGTTGGCACGCTGTTAGCATTTAGCACAAAGCATCGCTACTCTGTAGAGTCTTAGTCTTGTTACTTGAAAAATGACTGGACTCATTCATAAATATTCAATACCTGTCCATTGACTAACTGACTAATCGTTTAAGCTCCATTGCTGTATAATGTAGACTTTGTAACATTTTAAAAGCCACCTTTCCCGCCAACAACAGTGTTTGATACTCAAAGTATTTTTGGGTGAACTGTCACTTTAAAGTTTGCTTTTGAGTTGTTATCCGCTTTAAATATTTAGCTTATAACGGTCTACATATCCATTGTGAAATGTTGCCAAGTTGCACTTTAAATCTTTGTCTGCACACTGTAAACTGTGCAAAAGGAAGGATATTTATAAAACGACCTCTCGCCTTCCTGCTCATTCGTGTCCATAACTACCAGCTGAGTGCAATATAGTTCACACATGAAGCCTACCTGTTCATGTCCTCTCCTCAGAAACAAATCAACTACTGACACCGTTAACATACAGTACCACTCTCCTGTACAGATGCATGTTTATACAGTTTTTGTGAAGGGGGAAGTGTAACTCGTCTCCAGCTTTTCTTGTATTCCTGGAGACTTACCTCAGTTTTACTCAGGATGTGCTCTTTACCTGCATGATGAGGTTACAAAAATATGAAATTAAACACTAACTGGACCCTGTTTTTAAATATATGTGCTGCAAATCAACATGTTGCAATATAAAAGAGGCTACAAATGGGCCAGTAAATGCTCTGATAATTGCTTGCATATTCATAATTAGACAATTGTTGATTGACGATCACTGAACTCCAATCTGAAGACTTGCATCGATCATTCTTTTTGAAGTCTCCTAAAATCCCTGGTTATTTAGACTTTCAAATGTATTTGATCTGCTAAAATGCGTTTGAAAGTGTCTCTTTCTACATGTTTCTTTAAGTAAGAGCTGCAAAGCTTTTCCACAGTCTGAATGTGTCCGATCTGTTTTGTGTGTTGTGTCTCATGTTTAAACCAGTCAAGCCTTTTGTATGTGTTTGATGTGTAGGAGTGTAAATAGAGGGGATTTGGCCTTTAAGTCTGAGTCTGTGTGCAGGGCAGAGTCTGGCTGTGGGTCTGTGATCCTTCTGGATTTATTTCAAAGCTTCCTGCTACATGCCTTGTTTTGCTCTCATCTCTTCTCTTCACACTGGATTGATTTGAACCAGTGCATGTGTATTCCTGAGTACATTTACGTACGAATCAACGTGAGATTTTTCCTCAAAAAACAATCAAACTGAGTGGCACTTACAGTATTTGCTGTTATTTTTGACTTGCTTAAGAAAACATGATATATGTGAGAATGGCGTTAGATTGCAATGTGAACTGTGTGACGTGCTGTAGATGGGCTGTGGCTTAAGCATCATGATCAACATGGATTCTAGTAGAAACACTGACAATTAAATCAATTCAGAAGCATCTCAAACAAGTCAACTCTTAATGAAATGATCAAAAAGAAAATAGAAAGGGATGTTTGTATATTTTGTAAGATTTCTCACGAGATGGCCGGCTGTTCGCTCTTGATTTCGTTGTCATTTTAAGATGCACTCTGGTTGGACTTTCAATCGCATGTTGAGTAGCTTGAGTTTTGTATATTTATTGTATTAACACTGAATTAAACTCTTCTTCTGTATGTGTTTCAAGCTCTCTCTTTTTGTTTAATTGTATGCCTATGTTTGTACTATATGTGGGGAAGTTATTCAGACAAAACAAGGGTTTAGGTTGTAAAAGAAAACGGATCCATGCTCTTAAAAAGGCAAACTCAGGGTGTAAGTGGGCTTGCACCAGCAGCTAATAACCAGATGAGGTCAGTAGTCATCAAATAACATGAGAATAGGTTTCCTTCACTGCAAATGTTTGGAAGATAAAAAGTCAGTTCTCATATAGAATCAACGGTAAGGTAGCAAACATTTTAAATAGCTTGGCAAAGGAGAATGTCCCCATGCATAGAAAATGAAGAAGGCTTAATACTAACCACATAACATATGGATGGGAAGTGTCTGCAATAGAACTCCATGATGTTATATGTCAACGTTACGTTTGTAGGTTGTTCCAAAATGGCCCAAAAATGGTTGAATTTATATGCCTTTAGCATTAGTATTCATACTCTTAATAAAAGTAGTAATAATATGACCCGATCCAAAAGTCAGCTTTGAGTCTGATAACATTCATTTTCTAAAATATTTCATACAGACACCTGTTTTGAGTAAAAACCATGTTTAAAGAATAATGTAATGAAGTGTTTTTGTAATGCTAGTATAGTATACTTTGTTGTTGAAAATTGTTTGAAAGTTTTGTTTGCATTGGATAATTTTTAACATCTTAAGATAGGCTTTAACTAACTAATCTTAACCCAATACTTATCCATAACTAAATAACATTTTTCTTTTTATTCCTTACCTTTACTTGACTTGTTTTAATCGTGTATTCCTGACTTTGATATGAATTCATGATATGATTTGTTGAAGTACTATAGTTCATAGTGGCAGTGGCAAAAGCTGGCAGCATAGAATAATAAACACTCACACTTTAAGACAATTGCAGGCCAAGTGCTGATTGGCTAAAACAAACCTGTGAAATCAAACAAAAGCAACACTCTCACTTAACAGGGAGCTGGAAGCAGACCCAGTTCAGTGCCAACAGGAAGGGGCAGAGTGGAGGAATAACAGACCCCAGAGCTGCTCCTCTTAAATGCCTTTCATACATTACAGTGTGTGAAAACAGCCAGCTGTCAGCTGCTGCGCTCACAGCTGCCACAGACATTCAGCTGAGTGGGCGCAGGAAGTGGATTACTGTGGATGACATACAGGATTAAACTTTTAATAGCTTCCATCTACTCTGATTTGCAAACATCAGCTGGACAACTGACAGTGTGTGTCAAACTAAATCATTAATTTAAATGTTTTAAAGTACATTTCTTGTATCCTAAAAGATGATGATTTACTGGGATCACCATGAGAATACATTCATTCTTCTTGTCCGAGATGTAAAAGGAACTCTTTCTACAGTAAGTCCTGAAAACTGAAAGCCTCTGGCACTGAAACAGGCCAACAGTTTCTGCTGCACTCGTCAGATTGCAAGATTTGTCATGTGTCTAATCTGGAAGTCATCAAGCGCTGTGTTTAGTTTTGAGTTTGCTGGTGGAGGAAGGGAGCCACAGGGTTGTGCCAGAGGCTGCTCTGTAGTCCACATGGAGGGAGGAACATCTGGGGAGCGACTCTTCTGATGTGTGTGTGTGTGTGTGTACACACACACACACACACACACACACACACACACACACACACACACACACACACACACACACACACACACACACACACACACACACACACACACACACACACACTTTAGTAGCTCCTAAGGTAGAGGCGGAGAAGGGAAATGTATTGTTGTTCATTTGAAAGAGCCATAATTGATATTTTAGGATAAAAAAACCCAAATGAAAGCAGTTTGACAATGTTAAAGGGGTCCTAGTGATGAATTATCCCACACATCTGCAGATCCTGTGGTTTCATGGAGTATTGTAGCGGGTTTTTAGCATTGTTCAGCTGATCGACTCACATTTCTTTTACCGTTTTAGTTCACTCTCACTGCCTCGTAGCGCTGTTTGCAGCAAACAGCTGACAGACACAGTTTGAGATAAGCTGGTGAACATAGTGAAGCATTTAGCAGCCAAATGTTTTCCTCTGGAGATGGTGGAGACTAACAGCTGAGCTAAAAGTGGACACAAACATGACTTCCAAGGTAATGCATGCCTGCTAACTGCTTGATGTTTAAATAAGAATCTGTTTTGATAACAAGGTTGCCATATGCAGGTTAGTCTGCTGCTCCCTCCACCTCCAGGAAGGTTTTCAATCCTTCCTCTAACAGCAAGTTAGATTTTTACATAAAGTGTATACTCCAATAACCGTTTTGGGTGCTTCTTAGGAGTTCCCGCTTTAGTCCCAGCTTCTGTTACCCTTTATATCCCTGTACGTAAAATGCATCACCATTGCAAAACCATAACTCAGGTATAATGTGAAAAACAGAGAGCATACCCTAAAGGAAAAAGGCTCAATCAGCATTGTGTTAACTTGTTTGTAAGGACTTGTAACGGGTGTTCATTTATTTGTAAAACTCAAGCACTTCAGTTTAACGTACAGTACTTAAGTAAATGTATTTAGATAGATAGATAGATAGATCGTACTTTATTGATCCCAAATTGGGAAATTGTTTTTGTTACAGCAGCATAAAAGGCATTTTACAATAAAACAAAATATACAAGAATAGAAATAAAATAAAATAAAATATAAAATAAAATATAAAATATACATGTCAAAATACAAAATAGAAAATATACATACAGATATTATATATATATATATATATATATACAAATATACAAATATATATATATTCAAAATATATGGAATTATGGAGTATTAAATATGAAACAGATTATGTGTGAGTAAAATGTACAAGGTGGTTTTATTTCTAGAGAAACTATGGAGCAGAGAGTTCTCTTCCAGCCAGAGGTGATTTGTTGTACAGTGTTATTGCAGTGGGCAGGAATGTTTTCCAGTATCTGTCCTTGTGACAGGGGAGCTGCAGCAGTCTGTTGGAGAAGGAGCTCCGTTGACTGTCCAGCTGCAGGTGGAGAGGATGGGTGGGGTTATCCATGATGGACAACAGCCTGTTCAGTGTCCTCCTCTCCACCACAGCTTCAAAGGGTTCCAGCTTGATGCCGATGACTGACCCAGCTTTCCTGATCAGTTTATTGATCCTGCAGGTGTCACCGGCTCTGATGCTGCCCCCCCAGCAGACCGCAGCAAAGAAGAGTGCACTAGCCACAACAGACTGATAGAAGATCTCCAGCATCTTACTGCATACGTTGAAGGATCTCAGCTTCCTCAGAAAATAGAGTCTGCTCATCCCCTTCTTGTACACAGCGTCAGTGTTGATCCTCCAGTTCAGCCCATTGTCTAAGTGCACTCCCAGGTACTTGTAGACCTCCACAACTGCCACATCCTCTCCCAGAATGCACAGGGGCAGAGGAGGAGATGTCCTCTTCCTCCTGAAATCATAAAACTGAAAACTGAAACCTAAAACTCAAGCACTTCAGTTTAACGTACAGTACTTAAGTAAATGTATTTGGTTGGATATGAAGCACACGTATAAAAAGACACACTTACAGAGTTAAGTTCTGCATCAGTGGAAAAACTGATCACCCACTGGCTGGAAAACATTCCCACCCACACCTCAAGGGCCAAACCGAGGTCTCAGCACCAAGATGGCGGCTTCACTTGCTCCATCTCCTCCCCTTACCCACAGTAAAGCTTCTACTGGATCAAAAACTGAAACCAAACCTTGTTTTTTTCTCCCTTCTCTTTATTCGTTTGGCAGAAACAAATGGGAACAGATAGGACACTATCTACGACTCCCTGAAACCAGACATTACTAACAGCAATACTTCATGTGTGTCCTCATCATTCATGTCCAAGTTGTCTCCTGAAAGAGGAGCAGACACAGACCCTTCACAGGTCATCTTTTAGCTCAGGCAAGGATAAAGCTCACTTCATTTTCAGGGTTTTGCAGAATAGAGGACAAACAAAATGGACCCGAGAGCTTCCTCTGCCCGTCCTTGTGCAGTCTGTATGAAAAATTACTTCCATCGATACATTTCAAGGGTCTCTGTGGGACTAATAAAGGTATTCTGATTCTGAAACACATTTATCATTCAAATAACAGTACATTCTGTAAGCTTTAAAGGACATCCACTCTGAGCTGAAGCCATTTATTCTGCGAGTAGTTTATTCTGACTGAGTAGTGGTTCCCTTGTTGAGTTAATACTCACAAACAGTTTACACATCCAGGTTTTGCAGGCTGTGTTTCTTTTTTTTAGGCAAGAGTGTCATCATCAGCCCAGCCTGGATCAAGCTGACCAATCATTCTGCGATCATTACTATGTACAAAATATATATAATCACACGTATTTACAGAGCATGTGGAGACAGACAAAGCCTCCCTGGGCGTCCACACGGCTAAACACGAATACAATAACAGACGCAGCACCTTTAGTGGCTGAAAGACAAACACTGAGAAAAGAAAACTTGGCACTTGTAGATTCCTCCTACATAATCACAAAACAGAGTCAGGTCTAGTGGTAAACAACGCAGGGGCCTCCATTTCACAGGCCAGTGTTTTGAGGAAATACAGAAGGGCAGGTGTCTTTCGCCTCTTCTTCTTCTTCTTCATTTCCCAACAGGACAAAAGTATCTGAGCTTCAGAGGAGGCAGATGAGGCTCTTGCCCTCCTCGATCTCCTCCTGGACCTTGTCGCTGGACGTGGCGATCTCGGCCTGTGCGGAGAACACGGCGCAGAGGAAGGTGAGCACGGTCCCCCCCATGGCGGTGTAGAAGGCCCAGCCCATGGAGCAGAGCCCGGCCCGGTATGGAGCCGCGTCGGCCCCGCAGTACAGCTGCACCTTATCTGAACCCCAGCCAGCGGGGTACAACATCAGACCCAGGATCAGAAACAGACCTGCAACAAGGAAAACATTACAGGGTGTGTTAACTGATTGTAGTTTATTGCAGTTTACTGAAGGAAAAAAACAATAAGACTGTTGAGTGCCAACATACTGGTGAGCGTAAA